GTCCCAATGCTGCCCAGTGGCGTGCTGCTGCTGAGGATGAAATGGCTTCCCTTATCCAAGCCGGGGTTTTCACCGTTGTTCCCCGTAGTACCTCCCCTACCCGCCCTGTCACCTGTAAATGGGTGTTCGCCACCAAATATCTTGCCGATGGCACCCTTGATCGCTTCAAAGCTCGCCTAGTTGCCCGTGGGTTCACTCAGAAAGAAGGCATCGACTACGAGGAGACCTTTGCCCCTGTGGCCAAGTTCCAGTCTATCCGCATTATCCTTGCGCTTGCTGCTGTTCACGACCTGGAGCTCCAACAGATGGATGTGAAAACGGCGTTCCTTTATGGGACATTGGAGGAGGAGGTCTATATGGACCAACCCGAGGGCTATGCCGATGGCACTGGGAATATCTGGCGTCTTCATAAAGCTCTGTATGGGCTGAAACAGGCTCCTCGTGCTTGGTACCAGGAGCTCCACGCCACCCTCCTTGCCCTAGGATTCTCTCGCCTTCACAGTGACTACTCTGTGTACCAGCGGGGCAGTGGGGACGGATACATCGTTGTGGGGGTCTATGTGGATGACCTCACAATTGCGGCGAAGAGTATGGGAGTTCTGAGGGAGTTCAAAGAAGCCATGGCGCAGAAGTATGCGATGAAAGATCTGGGGGATTTACACTTCATCCTGGGCCTCCAGGTGACCCGCAATCGTCCGGCGCGCATCCTCCATGTCAAACAATCCAAATATATCACCACTATCCTTGACCGCTTCTCCTTCTCCGACTGTCGCACCACTCCTACCCCTCTTCAGGCCAATATCGTTCTCAATCCTCGCGAGGAGGATGAGCCTCCCTGCGACCGGGATCGGTATCTTCAGGGTCTGGGATCCCTCATGTATGCCATGCTTGGCACACGCCCTGACCTTGCTTTCCCAATCAGCCTCCTCTCCCGCTTCTCCAACGACCCGTCTTCTTGCCACTGGACTGCCATGGTCCATGTTTTCCGCTATCTTGCTGGCACGCGCGACCTTGGTCTCACCTATGGGGGCGATGGCGACCTGGGATTGAGTGGGTTTTCGGACAGTGATTGGTCCAGCAGTGACCTACAAACAAGGAAGTCTGTGAGCGGGTGTATCGTCCGCTTTGGAGGGGCAGCTGTTAGCTGGATATCGAAGCGGGAGCCGACTGTGGCGTTGAACACTGGCGAAGCAGAACTCATGGGTATGTCTCACAGTGCCCGGGAGCTGGTGTGGGTACGTCAGGAGCTGGCTGAACTTCAATTCCCCACCCATTTCCACATTCCCCTCTACGGCGACAACAATGCCGCCATTGCCCTTGCCAAGAACCCTGTCAAACATGGCCGTAACAAGCAAATCGATATCCGCTTCCACCACCTTCGGGACCTTGTGGAGCGAGGCTGGCTGGCAGTCAAATACATCCCAACGGCCGCTATGGTGGCTGATGGCCTGACCAAGGCTCTGGGCCCCATCAAGTTTGGCCGCTTCCGTCAGGCCTTGGGTGTTCAACCCCATGAGAAACCGTGCTGAGACCGGGAGCTGGAGACTCGGGGGAGATGAGAAATGGTGGCTCTGGTTGTCGGGTGGCTCTGTGTTGAGGGGTGTATATGGAAGCTGTTTTTGTTCTAGACCAAGTTCACGAGTGGTAGTGTTGTGGTATCCCGGCGTGAACTTGTAGTGGTAGAAATAGGCGAAGAAGGGAATTAGGCGCGCGAGATTTTCTCCCATAGGCTTTCATGTCTTCGTGTACATAGTCCTTCTTCTTCATATGCAAACTAGATAGCCTAACCTTCCAACAGTCTTCTTCTTCTCTCTAGCCCTACACCCCTACACCCACCCGACAGCACCACCGCAAAAAAAAACCCTTCACTCTCCTCCGAACGAAGCATGATAGTCCGCCCCCGATCCTTCCGCTCCCGCTGAGTGACCATACAGTTCAGTTGGTTTGTTGATGGTTGTTGTCGTGGTGGTTGTTGGTGTACAGGTGGATGATGAGGGTAGAAAAGTCGAAAGGCGAAAGGGGGGAGGCAAAGAAAGAGAATATGTAAGTGATGGTGAGATGAGTTCAGTCGTCGTAAGCCACTTCGGCGGATCGCCTCGCCAGTCGCTTGACTCTCTTCTTGTACGCTGATATGACGAATCATCAGCACAAACAGCCATGTACTTTGTTAAGAGAAAGGAAGCGTACCAGAATAATCTTCCCGTACTTCCTTGGCGGCATCAACGTTGGCAGGAGAGTTCAAGTCGGGAACGTCAATGCCCAGGAGGGAGATGACAGAGATGAGCTATCATGCGAATCAGCTTCTGACCACTCGCGAAGAATAAGAAAGAAGAGGGACGTACAACAGACTCGATGGTATGCACGGGCAGCCACCTCTCAGACGCATGCTCATATCCCCACTCATCCTCTCCAGGCGCGTGCTACAAGTCGCACCACCCGCATCAGCGCCCACTCCAAAGTCTTCTCAGACAACCTTATACTCACCAGGATGGACACAAACTCTTCGCCCTTCTTCTCTCCCAATTGTACACTAGAGAGGAACGTCAATCGGGTTCGATATAGTGAGGAAGAAGGGACGGACCATTTGGGTGCCACATTTCCGAGTCAAAGATCATTTGGGGCGGGAGGAGTGGATATTCCTATGCACATCATCAGCACCAAATCATGGGACAGTGTGAGAACTCGATACATACAGGAGGGAAGATGAGTCGAGCCTTCAAGATTGCGCCGTCCCAAAGAGTGTCGGCGGGGCTGCAACGACGTCAGCTCAATACCGATACAGCACCAGATACGGACTTACGCCATGATCACAATGCCCCACGCGAGGATATTATCGTCGTCAACAAGACCGGCGGAGAATCCGTCCACCGGATGCTTTTGCATATCTACTGTATTCCGCAGATTGAGTAGTCAGCTCGGTCCTCATCTTTCGCGCGCCTCTTCACCTTCCCCGCATCGCTACATCGTACTCCTCCTGATAGCCTTCTTATCTTCGTGCAAGACCCGACATACCGACGAACTAACTGCTCGCGCAATATGGGTGCCCCTGTTCGCCAGCAAGCCCTGGTACTGCCAAGTCTGTCAGCTAGACATTTCAGTACGTTCAGAGCGGGACCCACAAAGTTGTGCAACGCTTCGTTATTAGGCATAGCAGGTGCGGGCGTCCCCGGCACGGCTTTCCCATCCTTACTCCCTAGCCTCGCAAACTTGTCCTTCGGCTCTCCCTCCCTCCCCAATCCGACCTTCCATCTCCTGCATGACCTTCTCAACACCGGGCAAGCTCAAACGCTCGGCAGCACCGCCCATAGGCCCGACGGCGGCATTGTTGAACCCACCCGCGCCGGGGTTGGTAGCAGAGGGAACGTTGGAGGATGAGGCGGCGGAAGGGGCGTGGCGGAAAGATCGGCGGGGTTCTCGGTCGGGGTTTTTCGTGAGGAGGTCGAGTTGGCTGGAGAGGAAGTTTTGGGAGGGCTCGGTGACTGTCGCAAAGTTGGCAGGAGATTGCGGGGGAGGAAACGCGAAGGAGGGGAGAAACGCCTGCCAGAACTCTTCGAGATGAGACTGGGCAATATACCTGCTCAAGCTGACTTTCCAACCCTTCTCCACCAGCGCGGGGTCGAAACCATCTCTCAAAACATTGATATTGCCCCAACTATCCCATCCGCTGGATACCATGACAGCATCTCTGTCAAGCACGTCGGCTCGGTGGTTGAAGGGGAATCTGGTAGAGCCGACGATGGCGGGTGCCGATACGGTGTTTGGGGAGGTTGGTGGCGGATTCAGCGGAGGCGGGACGGTATACAGTCTGTGGAGGAGATAGCTCTTCAGGAGAGCATGTCGTAGGCTGGGTAGGGGCAGTGTAGAGCAGAGCGGCGCCATCTAAGTCGATGATCAGTATGATAGTCAATGAAGATGGGATGAACATACAGGCCAAACAGACAGTTCTCAGTGCCTGCTGTGCTCGATCTGTCTTTTCTTCCCCGTGTCTACCTTTCACTCCCACATGCTCGGCAGCATGATCCATGAGGTCGGTCTTCCTGCATACCACAACGATAGGAATTCCCGGGCTGTGATATCGTCAGTGTGCTTCAAACGCGTGATATTGAGAGAGGACGAACAAGTTGAAGTACCAGGGCCTAGTGGTAACAGAGGCCCGACACCAGCATACATGGTCGTACCAACAATGTCGGATGAAGGCTCGGTATAGTGCTACAAGTGTGATTGCACTACTCGTTGTCAGTCTTCATGATTCTTTCCAGATGGGGTTAACTCACGTCGCTCATGCAGTTCTTCTACTTCAACCCTCTCGCCTGCCTTGGATGTCCATGTCTCTACCCATGAGATACATGTACATAGCTCTTGGAGCTGTCCATGTATGCAATTAGCCTACAACATCATCCGCACTCGTCCCACAACAGTCATTCGACAATGGGATAGAGTAAGACATCACCTCATTAAGAAGTGACGACCCGTAGCTCACAGCTCTGCAGAGAAGGAGACTTCCCTCCGCGATCTTTGCAAAGGCCTCCCCCAAGAGTTCATCACGGACCTCACCTACTGCCGCTCACTTGAATACACCCAGCAGCCCGACTATGACCATTGCCGCCGGCCTTTTCGACAAGTGTTCGAGAGGGAAGGGTTCAAGGATGATGGAGTGTACGACTGGATGGCCGCACCGAGTCCTGGGGCATCCGAAAAGCCGATCGACCAACCTTCCTCCGGTGATATCCAGAAGAGCGAGCAGTCTGAAGAGAGCTGTTTGTCGGCTGTTTCGGGCGATGGCACTACTGTTGAACATTCTCTTATCAGCCAGCCCGAGACGAATGAAGCAGGTCCTTACCAGCGTTTGGGTTTGAAAGCTCGCCAGGTACTCGAGACAATCCATTTTTGGCAGCTCAACATCGTTCTTCGCGCTTCAGCTCCAATCTGACGGTCGCGCGGAAAGGCTCAACGTCAAAACGCTCCACCCATGCATGCACCCTTTCTCGAAATCCTAATGCCCATCCTAATCACCATCACCCCTCTGCTAATTTCATTACAAACAAACCCTAATGAGAAATCGTGAACACACAGCGCTCGGGACACCCTCCACGTTCCGCTCCAAGACCAAGTCAAGTTAGACCCGGGTTCTAATCCTCGGTTTGTTGTTGCCATAAACATCCTTTCTTCTACATCTATATCCATTTGCGTATCTATCTTGCCATCAACCACCCCGAGCCATGCCTATATAATACCACAGCACACCCCCGCACAGTCCGATGTTATCACCCCCCGCAAACAATCCCGTCACTTCCCAACCACCCCCAGCAGCCCCAGCAGCCCCCACCTCCCCCGGCCCGCCTATCTCCACGCCCCTCCCCTTCGACCCCACTTCGGCCCCATCCCAACTGGCGCCTCTCCATGTCCAGCCCCGGCCCACCGATCCCGCGCCGTACTCTGCTCCGGCAGCTCCGGCCCAGCACCAGCAAAGACGGCGCCGATCCACTACGACCCAGCGCCCGCGCCCGAGGACGGCTTCGGTAGTGCAGGACCTGCGTGAGGGTATGTCTATTGGGGCTGTCACTACCCCTTCGACGACAAAAACCCAGGCGGTGGTGGGGACGCCGGATGTAGAGCGATCTGCGAGTGCGGCTTTTGGATCTGGAGGCGGGAGGGCGAGGTCGCATACTGTCTCGGTGACTATGCCCGCTCGGCAAGCGTCGGGAGATGATAGGAGGGTACTTGCTTCCCCCTCTAGCTCGAGGCGCTCTAGCTCGAGGCGCTCTAGCTCGAGGCGGCGTCGGGGCAGTTCGCCGGTGGGGTATCAAGTCGGAAAAGAGGGGACGCAGCAGGAGTTGAGCGATGAGATGGTGGGGGTTTTGGATTGTGTTGATCCGCAGGTAGCTACCAGTGAGTCCTCCCCTCTTCTTTTTGCAGGGCTATGCTGATACAGATTCAGTGAATCATCTGCAGAATATGACCAACTCTGTCATGTTCCCGTACCTACCCTCTGTCTGGTCACGCCGTCCCGACATCCGCCTCTCGCCCGACTCTTCCGATGAAAGTCTTGCCCCCCTTCAACCGTCCCAAGACAATGTCCACCCTGTTGCCCCGGCGACGCGTTTCAGATCGGCTTCTACGAGTTCTAGGAGGGGATCGCTTAGTCTGGGGAGGTTGATGACGGGAACGGGAAGGGGAAGGGGGAGGCAGGAGGACGAAGAAGAAGGAGTGGGGGTGAAGAGCGCGCCGCCGGGGGTGAGTTGGGAAGGAGCGCACCCGCTCGCTATACCCGAGGAAGAGCCCCAGCGAGAAGCCAAGGAGGCTCCTCCGATGGACGACTCTGCTCTCGACACCGCTACGTCAAAGACTACCACCCGACCCCCCACCGCCATCTCAAAACCCTCCCAATCCCACTCCTCCCTCTCCCTCGCCTCCCAAGTCGACTCGCTCAATCTCTCACAAGCACAAGACGCCGCCGACCACGCCCGCATCGACCGCCACATCCACCACATCCTCTCCTCCTCCCAAAAACAAAAGCTGCGCCTCGCTCTCAAAGGTCTTCGGGCATTCGTCAAGACGCCCATGGGGTTCTTCACCGCCATATACGGCTTCCTCGTCGTCTTTTGGGGTGCGGCGATCGTGCTGTTTTTGTTGGGGTGGATCGATGTGGGAGGGGGGGATAAGCAGAGTGTGTGGGTGGAGATTAGTAGTCAGGTTGTTAATGGGTTGTTTACGGTGACGGGGGTGGGGCTGATTCCGTGGAGGAGCCTGGACACTTATCGTGAGTCTCCCCATGTCTGTCGTTTTCGTGGGGTGGCTTGGCTGATGGGAGTATAGGTATGGGCGTGATTTGGACGTTGAAGAGACGAGGAGAAAGACGACGAGACAAATTAGGTCTTGCCCCCATCGACGATCCGAACGACGTGCCCGACCCCAGGACTATCCCCGGATACATCCACGTAAGTTGTTTCTTCTCCCTCCCCCTTCATCCGCCTCCCCGTGCTGTATAGGGCTAACTGTCGGGCAGGTTCTGAACGAGCAAGAATACGCCAAACTCGCGCATCATCAGGAAAAGTTTGCCTTGTCGCAGACGTGGTATAAGCCGCATGCTACGGCTACGCATCGGGCTTTTCCTATTAGGTGGGCGTTGTGGAATACTATTGTGAGTCATACCCCCCACCTCTTCGAGAGTCCACGAGACTTTTTCCTTTTCCTTATCTCGGGCTTTGAGCGTGGTGGAACGAGTGTCTGGCATCGCTGACATCCTTGATAGCTTATGGACCTCAACTCGGTGTTTCAGTGTATACTTTGTGGCTGTATGTGGGGCATGAGATGGCGTGAGAGGCCGGCGTGGACGACGGGGAGTCTTATTCCGCTTTCGTTCTTGTGTGGTATCGGGTGAGTCTTTTCTCCAACCCCGTCTTCTCTTTGCGCCTTCCCATCGCCCCATCGCGCCCATCCGTATCGTGGATCCGGCTGATCTGATCGTTTTTCGTTTTGGATAGCGCCTCCCTCCTCATCTTTCTCGGCTCGAAACGCACCAAAAAAGAAATCATCCTCTCCCAAAAACTGCGCCAGGCTCTTGGTGTGCCGCTCGCCATTGCGCAACCGTCCACCCTCGACCCGGACGACCCGCTCATCCTCAAGGGCATGCCGGCTTTGGCTTTGGAGAAGAAGAAGGAGGAGAGGTTGGGGAATGTGGGGGGGAGGGCGAAAGATGGGGGTGCTATTGTTGGACAAGGTGGAGGTGGAGGAGATCCGGGGGAGAGGGGGAGGAGGGAGACGGTGACGTTTGGGATGAAGGGAGAAAAGGGGGAGGAGGAGAGGGAGAAGGAGGATCTTAGGCATAGGGGGCTGACGCTACCGCTACCGTCGCCGTCGTCGTTCCATCCGCACGCGGGCTATGCGCATCTCTCGTCGTTACCGGAGGATATGAAGGTGGAGTCGCCGATGGTGATGACGCCGTCCACGCCGTCCGGTGCGGCTGGTGGTGGGATGGGGGAGGGTGAGAAGAGGCGGGGGAGTGGGCTTGGTATGGTGGGAAAAGGATCTGGAGATGACATGAGGGACTTGGGGGACTTGGGGGGGTTGTAGTGCAATTATCTTGTTGAATATGTAACTGTTGTACGATTCTGGTCCAGTTTTGGCCACAGATGTAGGAGAAGAAGCTCTGATGAGAGATGACGTGTAGTAAGCACCGTCTCATCGTCTGGCCCAGACCCATGGCAGTTAAATATAGCAAGCCGGCGTGGCCAAATGGTTACGGCGTTCGCTTCCTATGATCTGTTCGAGACGTGTTAGCGAGAGATTGTGGGTTCGATCCCCACCGTTGGTTTCTTTTTCGTTTTTATTTTTTTGTTCATCGCACTTTTTGTCTGTCACTGTCAAGGTGTTTATGCATACGTAGACGCTGTCCTGCGGCGGCCTTACCCCGAAGCCTACCGTCAAAAACGAGCCCGAGTCCGGAAGAATACAAAAAGTTGTCGAGTAAGGAGAAGAGGCAGTTGCGGAACAAGCTTAGTGCGAGGGCGTCTAGGACGAGGAGGAAGGATTACATTGGGATGTGGGATATGGTGATTGATGATATCAGGAGCGAGTTGACGACTGCCGAGAATTGAGAAACAGGACTTCATGTAAGCTTTCATATTCGGAGAAGGTGGGCAATGCTGATGAGGTCATAGTAGACGTGAATTGGAAGCTCTCAAGGCCACAACTACTTTATGGCCATCCTCCACCCCGAGACTGCCACCCGAGCTCCTGATCCTCCACCTCTTGTCCGCCGCCCCACTTCCAGCCAGATCAACACTTACAACCCCCGCAAAGACCTGCCTCCGTCCCTCAAGAAGGGCGGGTACCACCGTCACAACGACAATTATGTTTGGTGGCGGCCCTACGGTCTGCCATTACCCATGTTCAGCCCCAACATGGTCTTGCCTCCAGCCGAGAAGAGCACTACATGGAAGGACTTGCGTCTGATTACTTTTGAACAAAAGGGAAGCTCGACATGGTATACCGAATACCCGAATACGCGCCGTGCAATGGAGGCAGCGTATATCCGTTGATCAGCGCAACAAGTCAGTTAATGACCTTTATGGTTTGTTTGGACGATACGAGTACAGCGGTGCTTCATCGACGGGAGCAATGCCTGTAATCTCATACTTGCTTTGCTTCCGGGTGCCGAGAACGGAGGTCCAACATGCTGGTGTGTGCAACACAAGGGATGTTGTAGAGAAGGTATAAGAGCCAGGGCGACTGGGATCAAAACTGCCATTGAACAATCTCCCACAGTTCAAGAATGGGAAACCAACCGCGCCGACTCTGCTATCCCCCATCGCACCATTGAGGATATCACCCAACCAGTCAACGGTATTCGTAGAATACGACCCCCGCCCAACGCAGAAAACGAGTCATACATCGGTCAACTCTGCCCGGGCAGCGATACTCGTACGGCTCGTTCACCACCATATGGCGTTTACTCGGTGTGCGGTGTGCGGTGTGTGAGCTCGATGGTGTGCTAGAGCCAGGTTAGATATCGGCTGTACCTGTGGGCGTGTGGCGGACGAGACAGGGCAGGTAGGGTAAGGTCGAGGAAGGGCGAAGACTACTACTGGGTCGGCATGGAGCTTGCGTACGTAGGCGTCTAGTTACAGTACGAGGGAGGATGATGGTAGGAGCGAACGCACAGCGCTCGGGACACCCGGCCGGAAACGTTATGCACCAAAATGAGGATTTGCGGTTTTCCGATTTTGGAAAACCGCCGGTGATTAGAAATTAGAAGCCTCATACGCTGACGGCGGCCGCTGGTGGTCATGTTGGTATTGCAACTATTGTTTAGGTGTTGCTGTTGTGCTGTCTTGGAACGCAACACTCTGACGCGACACGATGGGGTCCCAAACACGGACCCACTGTCCCACGCGCGGCAGGATGGTATTGTTCTCGGCTCTCGCTCGGGCCCTCCGCTGCCCCGCTGGCCCCTGGTGTGCGCACTGACCCCGTGTTTCATCCGTCTCCTCTTTGTCTCTGCTTTCTGATTACCTTACTACTTCTCTACTACTTCTCTCTCGTCGATCGCCGTCTCGAGGCAACCCACGCGACAACCACCCGCCTCCCAACCACCTCCCATCTCAACTCTCCTCCACATCCTCTGCTCTCCCACCACCCACCATGGCCTCCCTCTTCCGCAAGAAAGACAAGCCCCCCAAGACCGCCCACACCCTCTCACCCACCCCCAGCGCCGACTCGCACCCTGCCAGTGCGTCCAGAAAGGGTGGAAAGCATGTGAGCTTTGATGAATTCGGCGCCTCGAATGACCGCACTGGTGCGAGGTGAGTACCCATCTCCACTCATCCATTCTCTCGCTGACACTCTCAGAACACTCCCCGCCCGCCAAGTCCATCTCCTCACTCCCCCCTCCTCGCCCCCCTCGTCCCCTGCTCCTTTACTACCCCCCAAGTACTCCTTCTGCCCCACCCACATCCCACCCAATACCACATCCGACAACTCTATCGATTCCTTCTCGTACTCGGCAGAAGAGATCCAGAGGAACGGGGGAGAGTTTGCGCGGCAGTATGGCTTTTTGAATGGGATTGGAAGGGACATATCGCTCAGCTTGGGAGACGTTGGGCGGGTGATCAAGGTCGTTGGGGAGGAGCTCGAGAGCAGGGGTATGTCCCCTCCAAATTGCAGAGGTGCGCTGACATATATACAGCTCTCGCGACTCCCATGTTGTTCTCAAACCAGGCCCTCGAACTATCCCAAACCCGGACAAAGATGCTGATACAGTCATTCATCGATACCATCTCGTACCCCCCCCCCCCCCCCCCCCCCCCCCCCCCCTAAAGTACCATAGCTGACATACCAAAGCACGTCCGGTCGTCAGTCCCATTCCAAGCTCGAGTCATTCCTCCAAGACATCAAGTTTGCCAAAGAACACGAGCTGGCCTGGCTGTTCCGCTGGGCGCTCAGCAGGATCACGCGTGTCAAGGAGGGTGCCAGAGTCATCTGTCACGGCGTGATGGAGTGGGAAGTGTACGAAGAGTGGCGTGGCCGCGAGCGAGGTGCGTTTCCATCCCCTTCTCAAGACTCACGCTGACTCCCCCGATCCTCAGTGGCGGGCTACCCACCCGACGCATTCCCCTACATGAAGCAGCTCGTCCCCCCCGACGTCTACACCCTCATCCTCTCCCCCCTCTTCCACCTCCTCTCCCGCTTCGCCGCCCACTCCCACCTCTCCGGCCTCACCCCGCACGCCCTCGCATCCCTCTTCGCCCCCCTCTTATTCGACATCCCCACCTCCATCCCCGCGCTCGCCTCCCACACCCTCTTTGTCAGGGCGGCTTGTGCAACAGAGCATGTGTTGCTGGCTTATATCCGCTCAAGCGGCGGGACAGGGACAGGCTCCGTCTTGACAGGTTTACCATCGAGGCTCAAAGCATGGGTGCACAACTACCCCTCCATGCTCGCCTCCGACGCCGACCTCGCCCGCGGTTCCCCGCGCAAAGGCGCACGTATCGTCCCCTGCCATCGCGCCTCCCGCACCGTCCGCGCGTATACCCCCGACTTGGTGTCTACCGCGGAAGGCTGGGCGGCCGAGCTGGGGCTGCCGGCGGGGGAAAAGTGGGAAGCGTGGGATAGGGTGGTGTGGAAAGCTCGCAGGGGGGAGAGGGGGAGGGCGCAGTTGAGCGCGGGGTGGAAGAGGCGGATGGCGGTCAAATCGCTCCCTCCGCCGCCGCACACCCCTTCCCCGCACACCCCCGGGCTCGGGAGGCCCACGTCGAACGCTTCCACCCTCTCCCTCGCGTCCACCCTCTCCCCCCTCTCCCTCTCCCTCTCGTCCCTCGGCAAGAAAGATGAAGAGGAAGAAGAAGCGCGTTATGGCAGTCTGGCGGGCAAGGAGTGGACGTTGTTTGAAGAGGGCGGGTTCGATTCCGGTAGGGGGAGTGGGAGTGGGGGTGGGGGTAGAAGGCGGGGGGACGATTTTGGGAGCAAGTTGCAGTTTGACTTGAACGAGAGTGCAAAGATGGTACGTCCCCCCCCCCCTCTCTATTTTGGCTTTTGGCTTTTGGGCGCCTCAAAGCTGATGACGATTCAAAAGAGTATCTCGGAACGCCGCCAAACGATGGACTGGTCCGAATTCGCCTCCGCCTCTGGCGGCTTCACCCGCACCGACCCCCTCCTCTCCTCCACCCTCTCCTTCTCCCCGCCCCTCGCGTCTTCCATCGCCCAGTGGCCGAGGGAGAAGGAACAGCTTTCGAGACGGCTGTATAAGGCGGAGAAGGAGGCGGTGGGGTTTGGGTGGGATACTACACCCCACGTGGGCGTCGGCGTCGGCGTTGCCGCTGCGCAGGAGGGAGGGGGGGTGAGTGTGGATGGGAAGGGGAGGGTTTATGTGGAAGAGGCGTGGGTGGATTGTTGGTGTGATTTGATGGTTGGCGGAGGGTGGGTGGAGAGGGAGGAGAGGACGTTCAGGGAGGCGAATTGGGTCATTGTGAGTTACCTCTTGCCATCGCCATCGCCATCTCAACGAGAGGGGGGGTAGAGCTGATGAGGGCGTAGATAGAGTACAAGGCTCGGCCGTCAAAGGGGCCTACGGTACCGGATCCCATGAGCGACCCGCGTACTTCGTCTCTTTATATACTTTTCGAAGAGCGAGTGCCACTTGTGAGTTCAACCCATGCTTTTTTACGAAAGGTGTAAGCTGTAATCTGACGGTTATGGGTTATGGTAGGAGTACCAACATGCCCTCGCCGACCCTAAACAAAAGAAATCATTCGGCCTCTTCTCCCCCAAAAGCAAACCCAAAAAACGGCATCCCTCCACCACGCCAAACGCCACACCCCAATCCCGCATCCCCTCATCCTACTCTGCGCCCAACGCTCTCTCCTCACCGTCCTACGGCTCCTCACCGTCCTACGGCACCTACGGCTCCTACGGCGGCCGGGACGATTTTGACAAGATGCTTTCAAGAGGCGGGGTCACGAAAAAAGTCAGTTTGAACAGGCAGCAGGAGAGTAGCGTCTGGCACCAGTCTACGGCGCCTTTGCCTGTTGATGTTGGCGAGGCGAACGCCAGCGCTTTGCCCGTCAGGTCGCCTTTCAAGATGCACCGAACCCGCAGCGCCGAGAAGGACGACCGGACGGACCGAACCGACCGATCCAACTTTTTCTCGTCCAAGAAGGGTGGTGGTCTGCGCCGTGAAAAGTCGTCTTCCGAGCTCAAAAAGACGTCCCCCTCTGGTTCTGGTCCCTCCGACAAGGTCAAGGTACCGTCGCCGTCAAAGAAGGAGCGAGAGAGGCAGAAGGAGCAGAATGTGGAGTTTGAGGTGAACAGTGCGAGCGGGTTGAGTAGTGTTGAGACGAGTCCGAGACAGGAAGATGACAAGTGGATGGGTGCGTATTCTTCTTTTATGATTTGGAAAGCTTGGACTGACGCGTCGTAGATATACTCGTCTCCGGCCCCGGTCGACTCAGCGCCCAAGACTACCCTGCCCCCGTCCTCAAACGATCCGCCAGCGGCCTCCCCGCCTCTCCCCACCCTCCCTTCTCCCGCGATCCCCCAGCGCCCTCTGGCCACACGCACCTCCCAACCCCCGAAGACGACGATATCGTCACCCCCCGCGCCTCCCAGTCCGACCCTTACCCCGAAGTTGCCGAAGGCGGCGCCGAAGAGCAAGAGGTAGAGCGTCAGAGGTCGATCAAGAGGAAGGCCGTGCCGCACGAGTATGCGGACGAAGGGAGCGATGTGGGAGGGGGGTTCGAGCCCGTCACGCCTGGGGCGGAGGACTGTTCCCTGCCTTCCCCGACGACGGCGGCGGCGGCGGCGGCGAAACGCGACGGGAAGGAGATGGAGATGGAGATTCACGCACCAACGCCGAGGCGGGATAGGGATACGATCCACGGTATCGTCGCCCAATACGCTTCCTCCTCCTCTTCCCCCACGCCTTCCCACCCCCCTCCTTTACCGAAAGACGACGCCCCCGCCCGCGATTCTGAAGACTCGAACGCCACCTCCAATTCCAATGCTGCCCGTGGCCGACGCGACTCTGGCAAGTTTTCCGACGCTACCGGGGAGGAGGAGACGTTGGAGCCTGTTGTGGGGGGGGATGATTTGAGGCCGCCAGAGAAGGGAGTGTTGTTTGATTTGACGCCGGGGAGGGAGCCGAGTCCGGCGAGGTATAGGCATGGAGAGCCATTGCATTTTGGTGAGTGCTTTTGCTCGAGTTGTGCTTTGAATAACAAGCTGACGCTGCAATAGTTGGGGAAGAGCCAGAGCTCGAAGACGACACCTACTGATCATACGACTCTATAATTCCCTCTCCTCTACTTACGACCCGATACCCCCGACTTTTGTATCCAATCATACCCATCTTCTTCTATACCACCACGAACACTTTGTCTTCTGGCGTGATTCGACGACGCGGGCGTTTGCTATCCGAGATATCTTTGCCTCGAGTCGATGTTTCCGACGAGTAATCTTATATTGTGGATGCTACTTGTTACTCTATCAAGAAAGCTATGCAGCTCTCATACTGAGTCGACATTTGGAAGCACACTTGGATGGGAGATTATAAGCGCTTGTAAGGAGGAATGCGGCTGAGAGAGGTGAAGAGCAGGCAGCACGCGCGAGTTGACTACTGCCCACCGATGTCGGCCGGCGTATCTTCAAAGCCTTCCCTCACGTTAGAGCATGGGAAGCCGCATCGTGCTGTAAGGTCATTTATAGTGCCCTGATGCAAGGGGATCCTATAGCGAAGAGCAGCGTTAGATCAATGTCACAAGTGCTGACGTTGGTTGCAAAACTCTTGTCAGCTGTGATATTCTTTTGACAGCTCTGATTGTGGCAAGTAACGTCATACTAAAAGAAGTCACTCGTCCAGATCAGAACGATACTTATCTTCATCGGAAATGAGGATATTCATATCGTAACACGACGGAATGGAGTCAAATACGGCACAATCCCCACATCTGAACGTTCAACAGCTTCAGATAAGGATGTCTTGACTTGGAATTTTCGTTTGTCTATCACCAAAAAGAATACGGCGTGCATCATGTTTATATACTATATTTCAGTGACCAAAAAACTCTGTGATGTCTTGGACCGCCATCTCCAACATCATCTCATCGGCCCTTTCCGACTGCATCTCTTCCTCTACATGATTCTGCATGTCTTGGCTGAGCGTCTGTGGGCATCCTTCTGTAATTGATGCATTCGCCGTGATTATTGAAGAGATGAAATTGTGTCGAGATTGGCGTTGATACTCATGCGTATTGTTCAGCCCTGTGGCCACTGCGCTAGCGACCCAGTCTGACCGCTCCTCTTCATCTGTCCATTCGAAGTATTTCCTAGAGTGTTGAATCGCCTCTTATATGCTCGGTTCGACGGGCCGCCTGACTGCGCGGAAGATGCATAGACAGCTAATTCCCCACCGGTATTACGAAAAGGGTCGCCTGAAGGGGCGGAAGGGGCAGTAACAATGTATGTGGGGTAATCACGAGACGGGTCGTATGGATGAGGTGAAGAATTATAAGCAGTAAGGTCTGTAGTGTTGTCAGGCACGACCAAGGATGGTTCCGAATGTGTCTTGTTGAGTGATGATTCTGATCAAATGTTGCTGTATCCTGGCACACGAACGCCCTTTTTTTATAGCAGCATGTGGCATAGACCCAACAACAGCGAACGATGGTAGTTGTTTCAGAGCTCTTTTTAGGCCTCGCAGTCAACAGAAGACACATGCTGAGGGTCATGGTCAGTAATGCAAGAGGCGACGAAAGGAGGTGGTGGACGGAAGTGTTGGTCTAGAATCGCAGCAAAGTATCAAGGGAGGTATTCTAAATCTGACCTGTGCATTCCATATTTGTCAACGCCAGCTGCAGGAAAAGGCAAAAGAAACAATGAGTGGGAAGTCGAACGGTTTTGACGAACATTGCTGTGCCCGACCACTTTCTAAAACGAAGATAGACTGTTCTTTAGCCGGCAGTTTTGTTATGACACTTGCTTCGCTGGGGGCAAATTTCACAGGTTTCTACAGTCGGAGTCTAGTGACTACTTGGTAATGGTTGATACTACCCTCTTACGTAACATCACCTTCCATACATATCCCACATTGTCCATAGTCATGTTCTTCGTTGATGCTACCAATATGCCGAACCTATGAGCAACACTGTGCCGGACCTCAACAGGTTATGAGCCTCGACCATTCTGGTTCGACTTACCGACTACCCAGCGAATACGCCAACATCTTTTCCCCTTCACTACCCCAGAACTTCCCACTTGCGACCCTTGGTCTCTATTGGCCCGATCTCCGTCAGAGCTTTTCTGACTCGCCATGCCCCTCTATAGGACTGGGACTTGGAGCTGCTGGTTTGACATGCGTTGCCCAGACGCAAGTTGTTGAACTGGTGAACTTGCTGGATGTGGAGGAATTTTTTTGTTGGAGTCATGGTCTGGGTGGTTGAGTGCGTATACCTCTGGTCACTATCCTGTTCCTACAGTGCTCTGCTGTCTAATTGGCGGTAGGCATCCTCGCGTTGCTCGAGTTACAGCATCATTCTCTATCCCCATCTTCATGTTCAACCCTGATCCCCGAAAAACCTTCCTCCTCTGTCGACATTGCCGCTCTCGAAAATTTCCTTTACCGAGATTTTTCTCCCCACCTGCTTTCGTGGTCACCCCTTCTTCACCACTGTCTTTACAATGACAACACCATCGCTTCCCCAAGACGTACCTCCCCACATGGCGACTACTTCTACCTCTACCTCTGGGTCAGGCTTTCACAATGCCATGGCAAAAGTCCCCGTCCTCACTGGGAAAGAAAACTTCCCCAAGTGGAAGACTTCCCTCACTCTCTACCTGGGTTCCCTCGGTGCGTGTGCCTTCATTCAGAAGGACAAGTCTCAGATGGACGACGAAGCTTGGCGTGCTCGTGACGAGCAAATCGCCTACAGCATCCTCCTTACCACCTCTTCTCCAATCCAGCAATCTCTCTTCCACCTCCTGGAAGAAGCCTCAGCAACATCTCCTCCCTCCTGGCACGTACTGCCCAGCATTTCTCTCCCCTTGTCGAAGACCGATTGCGCATCCGCAGCGCCATAGTTGAGGACAATGGTGTCATAGACAGTGGATGACAGAGAGGCTTCTTCGAGGAGGTGGAAGAGAGATTGCTGGATTGGAGAAGAGGTGGTAAGGAGGATGCTGTAGGCGATTTGCTCATCACGTTGTCCATCTGAGATATCGGCGGTGTCACTAAGCCATATGGTGCAGAAACACAAGACACGGTAGATTATACATAACATTTTACGTTAGAGTGTCATTGGATACACTTCAAACACATGAACATGTGCGTTGCATTGGTCCCTATCGTCCTTTTCTCGACATATCCGGCGGTGGTGGAACGACTACTCTGCATTGCCGGATAAGATCGTCTGATCCTCCTCCTCCGCCAAACGCAACGCGGTGGCCACCGAGCTAGTAACCCATTTCTTCCGCTCCGCTTCATTTGCAAAACTGAATTTACTTCTTGAAATCATATCTGCGCGCTGCGTATAGATTTCTAGACGTCGACTGTTGCGCCAGTCCTGCGTCCCATCCTCTACTGTGAACCCGCTGTGGGGCTCATCGTCGTTGGTAGGCAAATTCGAAGCTTGCTGGTCAACAGAGTACGTATCACTCATATTGTTTGATATTACTCTTTGAATGATGGTAATTCTCAAGATTGGCAACGGAGAGTCCATCTTTTATAACCTCCGTCAGACAATAGCTCACGATAGCAGATCATTCAAGTCTCTTCTCAGGCCTCGCGACCGACAACAAAGGAGCCATGCCATTTCTTTTGATGATCAGTAGCACAAGAGAAACTGAAAGGAGGTCTAATTCCAATTTGACCAAGATCTCCTGGATCGGTACCCGCCTCTCCAATAAGGGCTGAAAAAGTTGAAGGGTTTCAGTGCATATTGATCCGCCCGACTTTCCAAATTGAAGCTAAAGATATCACCGTTCACAAGTGTCTATGTGCGGTCTATCAGCCGCTTCCGTTAATTTGATCAGTCATAAGCCTGTTACGTGGCTTTGCACTTGCGCAGAAATACCATAGAGATCACTGTATACGATGCGCCGCAGCTGTCGAATCAGCCACAGCTGCCGCAATCCACTTCCAGAGATCTCAATTATTCGAAGAGAATCCGAGTTTGAGAATGAATCGAAGCGGGCAGAATGGGATGCTCGTGCGGTAAATGAGTTGTTTCGACAGATGGAAGAGGAGAACAGGATTTTCAGATCAGGTTCAATATGGTCTTTACCGGGCGTCTGTGTATGACACGAGCTTTGCTGTTGGAAGAGTCACGGGTCTCGAGAGCGTCTTATTCTACCAGCCGAGCCGTCAATGTAGGCAGTATGATAAATTGGAGCTGTAGCCAGCGAGAGGTAGTATCACATGATAGATCGCTTCACATACGACTAGAGACCTAGTAGTAGCCACATCTCTACTTGCATATCATTGCCTGCGCATGGCAACATGTGTGTTGCATCCCCTCCCTACCTCAATTGAACTCTTAATTTTCTTATCCTTCCCTCTTCTGGCGGTCCTTCTCTCTAAACATACGCACCACATCGTCCGTCTCGCGATTGACCCATGATAGCCGCTCGCTTTCATCTTTCCAGTGCATCTCTCGGGACCCCTTGTCAAAACGCGATAAGATATGTGCTCGACGGTCATCCTGGGACTCGGGGTCTTCAGTGAACTCATTGGTATTGTTGCTCATCAACACATCTCGTTCAATGACAAGTTCGTCGACTTCCTGAGCAGCAATCCGATCTTCCTCTTCAAATTGGTGGTCCTGGTCTTCCAACGTACGCACTGATTCTTCCGTAGCTCCAGCAACCCACATCATTCGCTCCACTTCACTGCCCCAACGACCTTCCGTCAGGGTGAGCCGATCGTATCGCTCTTTAAAGATTGCTCGACGTCGACTGTTACGAGACTCCTGTGTATCGCCATAGACAGTGAGCTGGCCGTTTCGTCCAGAGCCAGCAGAAGGTGTGTAGCTCATATTGATTGATGATAAAGTATTCAGCAGAACTCTGATCAAAGTATTTCTATTTATAACATTCTTTGCTCTAGATACTACGACGAATGGCATATGCCGCCGTTTCACATCTGCCGTCAAAAATTGCACCCAACAAAGGAGGAACATGATCAGAAGCGCATTTCACATCTATCTTTCCCGGAAGGAGTCGTGTCGCGATAACCCTGGTTGAAGCCGATGAAAGGATTTCCAAACACGCCCCTCCTGCCTGGGATCGACATTAGCTACCCTCAAAAGAATAAAACGCGTGCCCGAGGTCTTCATGATATATCCGAGGCAGACTTGGAAGACTTGGAAAGGAAGAAGGAGAGCGTGCGTGAACAAAAACGAACGAACGAGGACATGCGCGTCCGCGACGCACAAAGGGTATGGTTGAAACTTCCGGGTGATTGTGAGATCCTGTTCTCAGCATTTCTCAACAGGGATGAGGGCCAGCAAAAGTTGTGTCGTTCATGTGGATTGGTGATACTCGGAAGTCTGATCAAAGTGTCTCTCTTTATAGCATTCTTTGCTTTAGATACTAGCATATGCAGCCGTTCACTTTTGCCGTCAGACATTGCACCCAACAGAGGAGTAACCTGATCAGAAGCACAAGAGTAAGCAAAAGAGGTATTCACACCTTGAAACTGTGATTGGAACCGAGCCAGATTTGACAGGGATCTTGCAAATCCGCCTCAAGAGAGACGAAACGAGCAAAGAAACATTAGGGGAGTACTACTGCCGCGTGCAAAATAAAAGGTGGGGCGCCCGACGAATTGTCATGATGAATGACTTGTATTCGACATGCACGTGGACAGCAACGTACCTAATGTATCGAGGAAAAGATACACAATGTAGTTTGCATATTCATGGGCATATCAACAACGATGTGATGAATTTCTTCGCCATCTGCGTACTACATCGTATCACTGCGAGAGCCCGTACTCATCTCCGATCCTTACATTTGCCCTGTTCCTTCACATTGCATGCTCTTCATCCCATTGAACCACCTCCAATCCTACCATGACGATATGCAGTCAACCTCGAGACATCTCTCGATCCCCCTCCTCCATATTCCGAACCGACTTATTCGTCGCGCGAACGACCCATGCCCTCCGTTCCGCCTCACTCCCCCAAGTGAAGCGCGTCCTCGAAGCCTCATCGAGTCGCGCCTCAAAGTCCGCTCGGCGCGACTCGTGAAGAGACTGCTGTGACTGCTGTGGGTCCTGAGGCTGAGACTCGTCATATACGGTGAGCTCGTGGGCGTTGTCGGGCAAGGTCAGGGCCTGTTCAGATGGTGCCGATCCGCTCATGCTGATTGATGCACGGGAAAAGGACTGGGTTAAATGAGATGCTGTCTGAACTCTGACCCTCCTCAAGATATATAGCAGTGATTGGCGTAGCCAACAAAAGGCGATAAAGAGGTTTCAGATCTATCTTCCAGAAAAGGAGTCGTGTCGAGCAAAGATCACGATATCCCGGGTCGAAGCTGATGAAAGGATTTCCAAACACCGCCCCTCCTGCCTGAGCTTGACATCAGCTACCCTCAAAGGAATAAAACGCGTGCCCGAGGTCTTCCTGGTATATCCGAGGCAGACTTGGAAGACTTGGAAAGGAAGAAGGAGAGCGTGCGTGAAAAAAAAAACGAACGACGGAACGGGGACAGGCGCGTCCGCGACGTACAAAGGGTATGGTTGAAACTTCCGGGCGATTGTGAGGTTCTATTCTCAGCATTGCTCAACAGGGATGTGAAGCAGTTCAAGCGAGTAGCTGCTGACTACAGAATGACCAGTCTGTCGAGTATGAGTACTCGTATACTGTCGGCCGGCGTCGGTTTTCGCCGGGGGAAGTGCGCTTAATGCCTTGTATGAGGTCGGAGTGGTCAGGCGTAACCTAGGGGCGGTTACGTGGTGGATCTAGCTAGGGGCGCTAGATGTCGACCTGGGATAGGCTGGTGGTGAGAGGATGTCCTCCTACTGACCAGTCTGTACCAATCCCTCCGTCACATGCCTTCAACCCGAGTACGACCACTGCCCAATACCAATAGATGACAAGTGCTAGCTAGTAGCAATTATCATTTCCTTCATAATTTCCCCAGTCCATGAATATCCAGGGCAATTCATGCTATGTATCTCGCTCTGAAAAAGAACCGCGGCATCAGGGCGGCATTTTTAAGATGGCCAACGCGGAGATTGGCGACATGCCGTCATGCGGGCGGCGGCCGACGGGACTGCTTGCTTCGTTGCTTTGCTCGATGCTTGATACTTTACTATCCATTCGTCTCTTTCAGCCATCTTTTCTTCAAAACGACCATCCGCCTACTCCATCCACTATGTCTCCTTGGAACGCTCCCCGCGCCAAAGTACCCCCCCCCCCCTCTCCCCGTCCCCAGGTCCCCAGCTAAGATGCGTCCCCCAGGTCCAGCTCAAACTATCCATCCAGCGCCTCCGCACTCTCCAACAAAAAAAACACGCCCTCGCCAAAGCCTCCCGGCGGTCCATCGCCGACCTGCTCGCCCAGGGGCGCGTGGAGACGTGTAGGTTGAGGGTGGAGGGGCTGATACAGGATGATATTGGGGTGGAGGTTTTGGAGGTTTTAGAAGTGAGTTCTTGGTGGGGGGTGCTTGGGTGGTGCTTGGGTGGGGGAGATGATGAGGGGGTAAGAGGTGGATGTGGGGAAGGAGAACTCGGACCGGGGGTATGGACACTGACTGAGATACAATATATTATAGCTTTACTGCGAGAAACTGCAAGCCCGCTTCAACATGCTCGACGCTTCTACGCAAGTCTCCCCCCCCCTTTCCCCACTCCTCATAACTACATACTGACGCAAACGTTACTCGAGTACAGCGGCACCGAACCCGACGCTTCCATATCCGACGCCGTCTGCGCCATCGTCTACGCCGCGCCGAGAACCGAATTGAAAGAACTACAAGTCCTCCGCGATATCCTTATGCACAAGGTATACCTCCCTTCTCCCCTCCCCCTCCCCCTCCCCTCCCCCTCTTAGCCTCCTACTCGAAAGCGTGGTACTGACAGGGAAAGCAGTTCGGTCGCCCATTCGCCCTCTCCCTCCTCCCCACCGAACCTCCCCCCGACACCGTCCCCGCGCGGCTCACCTCCAAACTCGCACTCTACCAACCCACCCCGGAACTCGTGGACCTGTATCTATGGGAAATTGCGAAAGGGTACAAAGTCGAGTGGGTCCCGGAGAGCGTCGCCTCCGAGACTGCCGCTGCCGCTGCCGGCGAGGAAGATGAAGATGAAGATGAAGGCGGCGAGGAAGATGAAGATGAAGATGAAGGCGGCGAGGCAGAAGGCGAGGATGGTGAAGATGGGGATAAGGGTGAAGGCAAAGAAGGGGGCAAAGAAGGGGGTGAGCAGAAGGAGTCGACAAAGGGGAAAGAAGCGGAAGGAGTGAAGGAGAAGAAGCTGTCCCCGGAAGAAGAGCTTGCGGCGAGGTTTGCTCAGCTCAAAAAGGTGTAATCCATGTTGACAGTTGATGTAAGGAAACGTTGTACTCGTATCATACGCCGGGCCAGAAAGGTGGTCTGCAGATTCGAGCAGGGTCATCGTACATGCTACTGATACTTTATTTGCCTTCTACAAGCGTCTGTGAAGCAGGAAGACGTGACAAAAGACGATCACATTGGCTTAACGGAACCAAATCCCTGAGAACTGAGAAGTGCCCTCTTCTGTCTTCCCTCCTCGCAATATTTCTCTCTCGCGCCCCCAAAAGCATCATAGCACCTCTCGACCACGCCAGCCAGCCCCCCGCCACGCCCCATGCCCCCCACCCGCCTCCCCCGCTCCCCCTCCGACCCCATCCACCTCTCCCACCGCCCCCCCTCCCCCTCCCCCGGCCCAGCAGCGGGGCAGCAGATCTACGTCCTGACCGCCGACGGTTCCAGTCTCTTCCTGGTGGACCCTTCGAAGCCTAGGGGAGGGGAGGAGCCCCCGCCTTATGCTTCGTTCCCTGTCCAGCCTTTACCGCTTGCTGGGGGGGACGATGCAGAGGCAGATGCAGATGTAGATGTAGAAGCAGAAGAACCTGGTGTGGGCGTGAGGAGGGTAGAGTTTCCGAGGGTGCACGAAGAAGAAGAAGGCCCGCATAGGCATAGAGCCCGGACGCTATCGGCAATATCGAACCAAGAACGCTATCGCCCCCGGACATTCACCTTCACACGCCCCCCAGCCAGCCGACGTGCCCGCTCAGCACTCTCCACGCCCGAACCGAGGACGGCTTGGCTCGTGGACGTGCCGGACGTGCCGGACGAAACGACGCCCTTGCTCCCGGGCCCGGGCCGCGACTTGGAATCTGCGCCTATCATTGCCGCTGCCGATGAGCAAGCAGGCTGGAGAGGGAGGGGGTGGTGGAAGGGCGTTTGGTGTGGGGAGCTTGAAGATGGGGAAGAAGACACCAGGGTGGGGTGGGGAGAGGGGTGGAAGAGGTACTGGCGGCCTGTTGGGAGATCTGCATATTGGGGGAGCGTATTACATCTCGTCCTTCTCAATTTCCCTTTCGCAAGTCTCACTTTCCTACCTCTAGATGGTAAGCTGACATTCGCAGGCGCTGCTGGTATGGCCATGGCTACTCGTCGGGACATTGGCGGGCACGGCGCTGCTCATCACTCTTCCGCTCGGCGCGATAGTCTGGTGGTTGACGCTGATCATATCTCGTTCTGCCGCAAGGCTCGAAGTAAAGCTCTCCCCTTCTCCCACTTTCGCTCTCAAGCTGATCAATGGTATTCAGACGATTATGCAATTACATTACCACACCCCTCTACCGCCGGGCAAAACAGCCCAATACCATCCAATCTTCTACCGTCCCCTCCCCGTCCCTCGCTCCTCTTCTCCTTATTACAACCCCCTCCCATCACCATCCTCCCACCCCCACCCCCACCCCCACCCTTACCACACCACCCCCTCATCCCCCCTACCCCCAACCTCCGACCCATCCCCAATAATCTGGGACAAACGCTTCACCAAAAACGCGTACGCCATGTTCCTCGACCACTACTCCTACTCCGCCCTCTCCTATTTCCTCCTCATCAAACCCCTCCTCACCCTGTTCGGCACCATCATGTGTATATTGGTGCTCGCTGTTCTGGGAGTGGGTACGCTAGGCGTGGGGCTGCCGGTGGGAATGCGGATCGTTAGGCGGTGGGGCAGGTGGCAGGGAGAGGTTGCTTTGGATAATCTCTAAGTCTCCTTCTCTTGTTTTTTTGGTACGGATCTTTGCGTTATCTTTTTTTGGTTGTATCTGGTTGTCCCTCGTTTTGCATGTACTGTACGAATACATACGAGTGCCCGAGAAGGATGCACAAGAAGAAGAAGAGAGAAACGCGGGGTGCAGGCTTATCGGGTTCTCGGATCTCGGCTTTCCCCGATGGGCCGAGATAACAAAACGACTCCTCCCATTCCATCCATTCCAATTTCCATCCATCTCCACCCAAACCAGTCCCACCCCCAAGCAATGTCTACATACCACGCCGTCATCCTCGGCGCCGGCGGTGAGGATCCTCCCTGCCCCTTCTTTTCCCATTCCGATGCGAGTGACACACAGGCTGATGATGAAAAAACAGTCCTGGGACTGTCTATCGCCCACGAGCTCACAAAGAAAGGTCTCAAAGTCGCTGTCGTCGCCAAAGACCTTCCAGAGGATTTGGATAGTACCGGGTTCGCTTCGCCTTGGGCTGTACGTCTTTCTCCCTTCCTCCCTTCCCGCTGCCTCGTTTCCATGACTCGAAAGAGAGCTGACGTCGTACTGTTGTTTGTAGGGCGCAAACTGGCACTCTGTCGCCTCCAAAGACAATATCCCCGAACAAGAACGCGACAGATACACTTTCCACCAATTCGAGCGTCTGGCACGACAAGTACCGCACTTGTGCGAGCGACGGCCGTACCGCTATTATTGGAATGAGGATGATGATGGAGGGTGGGGAGAGTGTTGGTATAAGGATTTGGTCTTTGGGGTGGGTCATATCTCCTGCGCCGGGAGCTTCATGTTGGGCACAAAGGCGAAGAAATCAAGAGAAAAAAAAAAGCGCTGACATGACAGCCAGTTCCGCACCCTCACCCCCTCCGAGCTCCCTCCCAACTTTAAACACGGCGTAACCTACGAATCCTACACCCTCAACACCCCCCTCTACCTCACCCACCTCGCCTCCACCCTCCGCGCCCTCTCCGTCCCCATCATCCGGCACCGCCTCTCCTCCCTATCCGAAGCCTACAGCCTCCCAGCCCTCGGGCCTGTCGAGCTCGTCATCAACGCCACCGGCCTCGGGGCGCTCTCCCTCTTGGGCGTGGAAGACCCGAAAGTCTTTCCCGCCCGCGGGCAGACGATCTTGGCCCGCGCGCCCTGGGTGCACGTGTGCTACGGCCTCAACGGCAACATCTCCCCCGCCTGGCAAAGAGTCTACATCATCCCCCGCCCCGGCCCCGACGGGCACGTCATCCTCGGCGGCGTCTATCGCCCCCACGACTGGTCCACCGGGCCCGAGCCCGCGGTCGCAGAACGCATCTTGCAGGAAACGTGGAAGGTGTGCCCGGAGCTGGATGGGAAGGGGGGGAAGGGGAGTTGGGAGGATATAGAGATCGTATCGCATAATGTCGGTTTGCGACCGTGCCGCGAAGGCGGCTTGAGGCTCGAGCTCGAGCGATTCACCCTGGGAGAAGGCGTCAAGCAGGGGCTGGAGACGGTGAAGGGGAAGAACAGCAAAGCTAGTTTGGAAGGGAGGGGGAGGAAGGTGGGGGTGGTTCATGCGTATGGGATTGGTATGGCGGGGTATCAGAGTAGTTTGGGGGTTGCGAAAGAGGCGGGGGAGAAGGTTGTAGAGTATTTGAAGGGGAGTGGGAAGGCAAAGCTTTAGTCATACGTCGAATATTTGGTCTTTTATGGATGTTTTATACAATTTATACATACATCATGACGAGCCCCAAGGCGGTGACTATCGCTGCTCCCAAGTCCCAGCCCTCCTAGACCCCAACTCCAGCTGCACCAGATCACCCACCATCCTCCTCCGCTCTTCTTCATCCAGATCATAGCCTTTCCTCAGCGTGATCTCCGTATACGCCCTTGTCAGAGTAGCCACGCTAGGCGCCGCCGCGGTACTCGCCCCATATTGAGAAAGAGCGACAGTTGTGTCGTTGCTCTCGGTGTGTGGCATGGTTCGTTGGTGATGAGATGGTTGATGATGCCTGATAGGAGCCAGCTGGATGATGGAGTTTATCATATATATGACAATTGAATGGCACCGAATCCATGGAATATGTCGGTGAAGGGACAACATGACCGCAAAGGAGCGATTGACACACCGGGGCGATATCTTTTCAGACAAGACCTACCGAGAACCCATCACTCCAAACAGGCCATACGGGAAACCTTTGTACGAGGTGATTGCTGGATACAATGCGATGGAAGTTAAATCGAACCACCTCTGCACCCTTTGATAGCGATGTCCACTTCCACCGGACGTCTACGACTACTCGTTCCGGGACTAGACGCAGATGTCGGCTCTCCCCTTTTCTTGCCAGCATGGTATACCCGACATACCTCGCTTTTCATCATATCCATGAATAAGTAAAACATCTTTCATATACAGTTACGTTCGGCGGTCTCTGATCACTCGAACGAAACTGTGCCTTTTAGCTCTTCGTACCGAGGTCAAGTGGTTTTGGATCAGTATGATTACCATATTCAGGGGGCAGATGTGAAACACCATGAAACTATTGATCCCACACCCCCCCCAGCATGCATGGCCTCGCAACGATAAGATTAGATAGACGACAATCGATCGGTAAGGTCGCGCCGGATAGCCGAGCTCTCGGGTGATTTCCGGGCTAGTTCATTCGTCATCTCATCGCCATCTCGTTATATATAGCAAACAGTCTTCTCACTGCACTCAATCACCCAGGGAGCAAGACAGCATGACTACAGCCAAAGCGAAATTCGACGTCGTCGTCCTCGGGTGCGGGGGTGCGTTATAATCGACATATTTTGAGCAACCAACTGACGATGCACAGTACTCGGCCTTTCCGTCGCAAAAGAGCTCGTCAAGAAAGGTCTTCGCACCGCTCTCGTTGCTAAGGACCTCCCAGAAGACGTCCAGAGCACAGGCTTCGCCTCTCCCTGGGCCGTACGTGCATCTCCATCCCTTTTCTTTTCCGTGCACTGATCATATTGACAGGGTGCATACTGGATCTCCCAAACTGCAAACAAGGAGGAGCAAGAGTGCGAGCAATATACATTCGAGCAGCTCAAATCCGTCGCCAAAGAACAACCTTCCATCGTCCAGCTCATGCCCTTCTACCATTACTGGAACAACCCGGATTCTTGGAAAGAGCCTTGGTGGAAAGATCTCGTTTCGAACGTACGTCCCCCCTCCCCCTTCCCGCCATGTTACTGAAATGACATAGTACCGCCACCTCCCCTCATCCCAAGTGCCTCCCTCCTACAAGTACGGCGTCGGCTACGAATCCTTCTCCATCCACGCCCCCCTCTACCTCTCTTACCTCGCCTCCTCCCTCCGCTCCGCCCCTTCCTCCGTCCCCATCATCCGCCAACGCCTCTCCTCCCTCGATGAAGCTTACAACCTCCCCTCCATCGGGCCTGTCTCACTTGTCGTTAACGCAACGGGCCTAGGGGCGAAGACGTTGTTAGGGGTGGAGGATGATAACGTGCATGCTGCAAAGGGACAGAGTGTGATTGTGAAAGCTCCTGGGGTGAAGGGTAGTTGGGGGTTGAAGGATAAACATGAGTTGGAGAGCCAGCGCGCTATCGTCACTTCCCGCCCTGGCCCAGAGGATCATGTCGTGCTCAACGGCTACTACTTTGCAAACGACGCATCCACCGACCTCCTCCCTGCCCGTTCCATCCAAATGCTCAAAGACGCGCACAGACTCCACCCTCCTCTCGACGGCAAGGACGGGAAAGGCAAGTGGGAAGATATCGAAGTCGTCGAGCAGCTTGTTGGGATCAGGCCTTCGAGGGAGGGCGGGATGAGGGTTGAGATTGAAGAGAGAAAGATTGGAGACGGTGTGAAGGCGGAGTTGAGGGCGGTGAGGACGAAGGGGGAGAAGGAGGATGAGGGTAGGGAGGTGGGGGTGTTGCATGCTTATGGTATTGGGGTGGGTGGGTATCAGGCGAGTCTGGGTGTGGCAAAGAAGGCGGGCGAGCTGGCGCAGGTTTGGTTTGACAAGAAGGCTTGAAGGACGTGTGCTCCATGAGAAACAATCTCATGTATCGCTATGCATTGTGCGAATCAATGTTATGTATCCAATTGCATCTCTCCAGTATACCAAGCCATACAGTATCCAAGCCGTTGTGATAGAACCAAACATTCGTGTATTGGTCGGCGGCCCGAGCCGCCTTTAGCCCGAGTCTCCAGAGTCCAGGCGCGTCGTCGTCTCGTGTCGTCTCGGTCACCGCAAATATCCAAAACAGCGACGTTCTCCAGTATCCTGCATCGCTACCTATACCCCTGGCTTTCAAGCACCCCAGCCACCAAAACCCCTACGCGTGCGTTCTCCAACAGCATGGACAGGACACGTCTGCCGTCTCCGCTGGTCGAAGACGAGCTGCGATCCGTCACCGCAGTCAACAGCCGCAACTGGTGTAAGCCTCCTCCTTCACTTCATCTTACTACCTTTGCTGAATTGCCCACTTCAGACAGAATATTCATCCTCCTCCCCATAGGCGCAACCCTCGTTTGGATATCCGGCCTCACAGCGCTTCTCGTACTCTGGATCTCTCAAGGACGGCCGAGATACGACGACAATGTTGCGAGCGTCGCTCTGATAAGCGATGTAGGAGGGGCGAATGAGACACTGTTCTTGTGTATCTGTATCCTGACGGACACGTGAGACTTCAAGTCCAGACTTCAAATCCAGAGTATACGCTGACACATTCTATGTAGCTTGTACTTTTCGTCGGTGTGCGCAATCCGATGGCTGAGACATAAGGGAAGACTGCCAGAGCATATAGGGCGATGGGAGAACATATTTGGTAAGTCATTGATCCTGCAAGCAGCTTCAAAGTTATTGCTGATGAGTTTCGGATAAGGCTGGCTAGCGGTCGTCTTTTGCATGCTGGGCTGTTCTGGTCTGTTCATCCTCGCCAAGGTACGTCCGCAAGAGCTCGGCGAAGAGCAACAACTGATTGACACGGCTATAGTGGAATGCGTATCAGCATTCGGTGCTACATTGGAACGGTACCATGATCTTCATCATCGGCGTTGGCGCCTCTGCATTCTGTCAGACAGTCGAAGTCGTACGTTCCGGCTCCCTCCCCTTTCTCCTCCCTCGTCTCCCTCCCGCCATCTTCCACCGCCTCGCCCTACATTTAGATTCACAGTCCTAACACATCATACAGTGGCTACTACGAAGAGGGCACCGAGAACGCAAACATCTGCCAAGAAATGCGTATTGGAAGCTGGCTATCGTGATTATCGATGTCGTACTGGCTTGTGTCTTTGGAGCGAGTTATCTATACGTGCGTATCCATCATCTTTTCCAGCACTCTACTTCCCTCCCGCCCCTACACCTCTCTCACCCCTCTCATCCTCGCCACCAAGTCCATCGCTAACATCTCCTGTAGTGCGGCGGCACAGCCCACGCCTCCAACGGCCACACCGCCGCCCAATGCAACACCACCAAAGCCAACGCCGGCATCCTCGAATGGACAATCGCCTACGGCCTCAACATCTACTTTCTCACCCTCGTCGCAGACCTCTGGCCCGTCGGCAATCGGGCGAAGTGGAGGAGGGGCGGTGGGGGGTGGGTGGAGATGGGGGCGGGGACGGGGATTGGGTTGAGGACGGATACAGATATGGAAATAGGGGAGATGGGGGGGATGGGGAAGGGATATGGGGCTCGGGAGTGGAAGGGAAAAGGAGGGTTGACGGAGATGGAAGAGGTGGAGCAGTCGATGTTGCGTTATTGAGAGGTTCGAAGAAGGGACAAATTTGTATCGTCTGTTAGCGCTCTGTCTATCTGTTTGATCTGAATGCTATGATCTCCTCAAGACAAAGCATGAGAGTCACGTTCTTATAATGTCCATCGCTACTATGCCCTACACTAGACAAGAGTGTTTTTCAACATCTTCGGACGCCCCACCTGAGACGTGTGCTCAGGACGACTACCTTGCGACTCCTCCAGATCCAGCGCCCACGCCAAGAGCTCTTCCATACGACTCGCATTGCTCGGGTGTACAAGCTGAATACCTTCAACCACATCAACATCTACCCCGAGCTTCAGATTCGCGAATTCCTCGTCCTCTTTGATCATCAGCGCTTCAGTATCTCCGTTCTCAAAAGCTAGCTGTAGCCAGCTTTCACTGTCACCAGGTTTGAGCCCCAGAGAAAGGTCATCGCCCAAATTGGCAGTAGCTTCCAAAGACTTTACATGATCATCGATGGTCATCTCCCAGTCCTCTTTTGAGGCAGTGAGGACCTCTCTAGAGATGGTCCGGCTCTCGGGGTCGTACTTCAAATGCGAAAGCAAGAACGTAAAAGTGCCGTCTTCGATAGGAGTGGCGCCGATAGCCTCTAAATGCGCCTCGCTGAGCACAATGGGGTCGTACAAGTATATGCTCTTCTGAACAGTTGGGTGGGCTGAAAAGCTGGAGTCGTCATTCCTAGACCAAGTTTGTTTTGTGTATTGCGACATGATGAAATCGTTGTGATGTGACGATGGTGATGATGATGTTCCTATGATGCTAAAGGATGTTGCAAATATATGTCGTGTGGTGAGGTGGGAAGACTGCGCGGCGCACCTGATTCCCTTTATGAGGATTTGAATGGAGGTGTGCTGAAGTGCTGAAGGTTCTAACGGCGACTCGACACCGTGTCAGCCACCGCCGCTTTACGAATAAGAAGTCCATAGGAACGACCATATCGTCAGAAATGCACAATGTACGTATGACGAACCATTTTGAGAAGTGAAACATCCAGAGAGTTAAAAGAAGCAGGTATTGCGGACGTTGAAAGATGATTTGTTCTATCATTAGTCACCCTCATTTACCGCCTCGGCCCGGAGATAGCGAGAATATCTGCTGATCGTCTGGGCAGAGCCCCTCCTCCCCGAAAGGATCCCAACGTTGGCCGACCCAAGAGCATAAAGGATGTGTACCAGTACGACACCAGCGACACCGCCGAAAGGAGGGAATGTTTTGGTGGTAATTGCTGTGGAAAGTGAACTCGAGCTGGGCTTTCGTTTACCTCTCATGCGAGGATACAGGTCGTCAAATCCGGACTTCGATTCTCGAAACTGCTCAATATAACTCCTCACCAAAGTTGACAAAGCAGCGCGAACGACGGTCGTGCTGATATCATGAGTAAATCGGAGGGACAAGTTTCGCAGGACGAAATACAGTCTGTCAAAGATTCAAGACATAAGTGGTGTATGTCCAATCCTCCTCACTTTTGAGACCACCCCCGAATCATCGCTGACTCTTGCTCAGACAAATCGTGGATCCTCCTCCCCATCCTCGCCACGACAGTATGGTTTGCCGGCCTCACATCGCTGCTGGGACTATGGATCAGTCAAGGACGGCCGCGGTATGATGATAATGTTGCGGATGTGGCGTTCATCAGTGATATCGGAGGAGCCAACGAGAGATTGTTCTTGGCCATTTGTATATTTACAGACATGTAAGTCAACGACTCCGAGACCACGAGGGTCAGCATGTAGACTGACGCGCTTGCCGAAGATTTTATTTTTCATCTGTATGTGCCATCCGGTGGTTGAGACACAAACGAGACCTTCCAGAGCATATCGAAAAGTGGGAAAACATATTTGGTACGTCCACATCGCCACAGAGAGCGCACAGCTGCTCACTTTTCATGGATGCGCAGGGTGGCTGGCGGTGGTGTTCTGTTTCATCGGATGCGCTGGTCTTTTCACCCTCGCCAAAGTGCGTCTTCAAGCCCTTTATTCAATACTGAGGGACAATCATCGCTGACTGGGACTTGGTAGTGGAACGCGTACGATTATACAACAGTCCACTGGAACGGGACGTTGATATTCATCATCGGTACCGGCAGCTCTGCCTTCTGTCAAACCGTCGAAGTGGTGAGTATAGGCTCCACATCATCAAATATAGAGTCATACTGATCACGAAAACTGAGCAGTGGCTTCTCAGAAAAGGTCATACACAGCGCAAACATCTTCCTAGAAATGCATGGTTCAAACTCTTTATCGTCGGCGCCGACATCATTCTCGCGGCTGCTTTTGGTGCAACGTACCTCTACGTAAGCCCCTTCTCCACTATTGACTAATCCACCTTGGAAATACTAACCTGTCATAGTGCGGTGGCAGAGCAACTTCATACAAAGACCACACAGCAGGTCAATGCAATTCAACGTCATCCAAAGCAGCGGTCTTGGAATGGACGATCGCGTACGCGTTGAACCTATACTTTTTGACATTTGTGATCGATCTGTGGCCCGCTGGCAAAATCAAGGAGCAACCTGAAAAAGAAGAAGAGAGTGTTTGACTTGTCAGGCAATCAGCAAAATGGACAAAGTGTGTCGAGCGTTGTGATTTCAATTCAGTCATGTTGTCTGTATGCATTTTGCTGCTACATTTGGATCGCAGGCGCCCACAAGCTGCAATTGACATAGTGTGCTATCCACCACAGCCGGGAGGTATCGTGTTGACCCAAATGGATATCGGTGTCGAATATATCCCCCTGGTCTGCGATAACAATATCCACTTCATCTTCAGTCAGCTTCATCTTCTGGCACTCTTCCCCGAACAGGAAGATGATAATCGGACCCACCCCGCAGATTGGACACACCTCTCCTTCTACAGGAGCTACACAGCCTAAATCGTGTAGACAAGCTGGGTTAGGGCAAAGGTAGTAGTAGATCAAGAACATGTCGGACTTGACGATGGTACTTTGACGACCGAAAGAGGATGAGTACTTGACTGAGCCGGAACTGTATAGAAATGTATGCGGTGAGCTTCCGGCATTCTACTATCACTCGACCTCATTTTATACAGTCCTTTTCGGTTGAGCGACCATCACTGCGCTTGTCATATTGTGCGAGGCAACAAGCGAGTTTCGTCTATGTCGGACCGGAGACGCGTTCCCCCGAAAGTCGGCTACGCAGGACTCTGTATCTACATGCCTCGCATTATCATGTGCACCATGTAAGAGAAGAGTAGAAGCACAGCGGGTGTCTTATCCGTGCTCATCGGGCGACGCAGCACAACGTGTTTCGGTACGCCATACAGCGTCGTGAGCGTGTACATGAGGCACGACGAATTGGATTCGGAGCTTGACTCCAAGAATTATCATATTAACAACGATGCAGAGAGATACCCTGTGAACAGCCGCGCGTGGCACCCAACATGAGATCAGAGATAGTATTCGGATCCCTTCGATATTCAAAGCGGCGTTCTTCAGTTCTGGCTCTCAGACGCATGTCAACGCCGTTGACGAGATGTCTTCTATCTCAGTGGAAACATCAAATTGAGGTCAGAGGTCCGGTGAGAAGGAAATAACCACGCTCTTTGCATGCGACGCGAGTAACGCTCCCAGCACGGCAATCCCGTTGATGACGCCAGGTCAACATCAGCCAGAAGACAGCAGCAGTGAATGCTAGTTGAGAGGTGCGCTAAACCGTTATTTGCATTTCATTGCCCGATACACGTTGACAGGCTTAATCATACGGCACTCTAGCAGTCATATTCATTGTCATATTAGCAAGCACATTATCACGACTTCCCACAGCACCCATCACTCGGCGCCCTTCTGCCTGGAGGTTGAAGGATTTTTCACGAGGTGAGCGTTACATCTGGGAAAGAAGCTCTGACAGATAAGAAATTAGAGAAGGTTGTGAAGACATCAACCATGCAGGACGTCTTATATACTTTCCCAGGACGAGCTATGTCGTCGAAACAAAGGTTGTTGAACCCCTTCGCGCAGCCTTCGCGTCGTAACCAAAGAGTTCTAATCACCCTGATGGCCACATTAGCGGAATCAAACATATTCTAATTTGCCGCACGATGACGCCGTCCGTCTGAGTGCTCTCCTCCATCTTTCTCCAGCCTTATTTTTGCCACCTACAAACAAAAGCCTCTATACCATACACTCCCTCTCCTAATCCACCATCCACAACAATGCCCACCGACCTCCCCTACGCCGCCGAAGCTGAGACTTCCCTGTCCCCCGATGAGCTCGAAGTCCGTCTCCTCTTCGCTTCCACCTCCACCGCGACGTCTTTTCTCTTGGGCATTGCTGACTATATGTATAGGTCCTGAGAAGACAATACTATAAGGAGATCGAACAAGGACACGTCTCTGTGCAGAGCAAATTCAACTATGGTGCGCCACCCTGAGATTACAACGAGTGGGAGAGTGCTGGAAAGCTGATGGTGGTGCGTAGGATGGGGTTTGATAAAGTCTGGAGGCAACGAGCTGCAAACTGAGGGTATCAAGCTCTTACAAGGTACTTCCCTCTTCTCCATATCCCTTTTATCATTCTGAACCGCCGAGCTGACTGCTTGACAGAAATCTACTCTGCCTCCCCCGACCACCGCCGCGAATGCACCTACTACATCGCCGTCGGCTACTACAAACTCGGCAACTATGCCTACGCCCGTAAATTCAACAACCTCCTCTTATCCGTCGAGCCAGAGAATATGCAGGCGAAGAGTTTGGGAGAGTTGATCGAAGGAGCGGTGAAGAGGGATGGATTGATTGGTGAGTCGGCTCTTTCTTTCCAACGGGACTGTCCATGGTGGTCTGCTAGGGGTTTCGTATGACATGGGCAGGATAAAATATTTACGAGACCACCACGCAGTGTCAACACCATCATCGAGAGAAAGAAAGCTAACCCCATTCAGGTATCGGACTCATCACAGGCGCCGTCGCCCTCACCGGCCTCGTCCTCGGCTCTGTCCTGCACCGCAATAGGAGGTAGTCTACATGTGCTCTATGCTCCTCACTCTATGATTGCTCTTTCATTTGGCCATGAGGTATGAATCAATGTTGTCATTTGTACAGGGGCCTTTGCGGAAGAAGGGGAGGGTGAGATGTGGAGGTGATGAGGTGTACTTGGTCTCCGCTTGAGGTTTTGACGGGGCGTTGTCTCAAGAATGGTATGAGTACAGACCTGTGACTGCTCCAGAAGACCATACCACTCACGAACGTATATGGAGGAGCCTCGCGTAAGGATACAAACACGCATGATATCAATGACATTGTAAATTTATACATACACATTCTCTCTGACCTTCGTCTCATTATTGCCCGAGTATGCTCTCTCCCCACTCCCACTCCCACTCTCACTCTGACTCGAGAATGCTACACAAATACCCAAAACGCTATTCGTCCCCCTCCCATCGACCGAAAACAATGCAAGGACGACCACGAGGTCAGTCGGCCGAATCACCATCACCCCAGTCCAATCCAGCCCAATCAACCATCCTCCCTCTCTTCCTTCGTCCACATTACGTTCGACTCATCCCATTATCATTCTCTGCTTCGCCGAGCGTCTACTTTCGTTTGTACAATGCTATTATGCTGGAGGTATTTCGGAGGCGGGTGGTGATGCGAGGGAGAGGATGGTGGTATTGTTGGAGGTGATTAGACGGATTGGCCGAATTCTGGCAATTCACCGTGTTGCCTGATGAGAACCTCTGCAAAATCTGTAAGCACACCTCCCAAAGCCCGAAAACAGAAACACGTACTAAAGAACTCGTAGCTCATCCAACTAATAGCCGTACTAGGCGCCACCGTCAAAACCCTCGGCCACATCCCCCTCCTCAACCCCCTCGCCCCATCTCTCTCCCAAATAATCCTCAACGCCTCCCCCATCCCCCTCGCCCCCCTAATCCTCGCATCACTCGAGCTCCCCCTCGTCTGCAACAGCGTCTTGGCCACATCCAACGGCGTCGTCACCGCCGCCGCCAGCCCGCCCGCCACTCCGCCGGCAATGACGTGCGTCATGGGGCTGTATGCGCCAGAGGGGTTGAGCACGGTTTTGAGATATTCGTAGGATGTGAATTGGACGGCGGTGAAGGGGACGGACATGGTGAGCGTGGTGGGGTAGGAGACGTAGAAGGCGGAGAGACCTTCGGTGGCGTAGAGGGTGCGGGAGCAGGAGAGGACGGTTCGGTGGGGAGAGTTGCGGATTTGCATGCGTTGCTTGATGACTACGCCCGTCAATTATGCCTCAAGCAGAAAAAAAGAGAAAGCGGACTCACCATCGAAAGGGTTCATCAAAGCATCGCTCGAAACAGTAGCCATCGCTCCCGCCAACGCCGTCCCTCCGACTCCCTGCCACCCTTCATTCCTACCCCCACTAACCTCCCTCACAAACTCATACATTCCAAAATGCGCCGCATGGGCAGGACCCGCACCAAGAATAACAGAGGCGACACCGCGCCAGAGGGATCGGAGGCCTTCGGTGGTGGAGATCGAGCGGAGATGGGAGAGGATGGTGTTGAGCTGGGGAGGAGGGGCGGATCGGGCGGCGGCAGCGGCAGTGCCAGATGAGGAGGCGGAGGAGGAGAGGGAGAGGCCGTGGGTGAGGGGAGCGAGGACTTGCATTCGAGTCTGTAGATAGCTGTAAGCGATCCCGTCGAAAGATGACCGAATCCAGAGCTGACTTACCTTGACAAGGTCTAACGGAAAGATCGCGGCGTGTTCAGATATACCCGCCTACAGAAACACAATCAGCTCAACATTTCAAGACTCCGATTGCGTATATAGACGTACAAGAGCTCCCGCAGCCATGTTCGTAGCCCATCCATGCCCCACCGGTAAACTCTCATAATCGTGCTCCTCTTCCTCTTCCAGAGCTACGCTTGACTCGCCGTGTGGTAATGGAGAAGAGGAGTGGGGATCGAGATGGACGCCGTGGGGCTGGAAGTGCAGGGAGGAGGAAGGGGAGGATGAGGAGGATGCCATGATTTGGGGATTTTCAAAATTTCGAGGGGTATGCGAAAGAGTGTGGACGGTGGGGATCGTTGGGTATCTTGAATTTCAGAAGCGGTACTGGGGGTGCAAGTCAGCTTCACGTATGTCTTGCGAGAATATTGATGCAAGAGCCAAGCAAGATGAATGAGAAGAGGCGCGCAGAACAGCACAAAGCCGATAAAGACCGGTTGGAGCCGCAGGTATCGCCGGGCGGGGGGTCCTTGCTGCTTCCATTGCCAGCCAGTAGACGAGGAATCCAAAGCAGGATCACACGGTGCCAGAGCCCTTGAAGCTGACGCTTGACGATCCAAACAATTGCCGAGGTTGATGTCCCAGGGTCTTGCGCCAGAGCGAGTCGAGGCTGTGGAGTGACAGAACGCAGCTCACCTTGTCAGAAGAGCGTACGGGGTGCAGGGATGTGCGCTGTGGTTGTTATACTTTTGGGCGGGGGATAAGGAGTGTTGCTGGGTGTGCGAGTCGAGTGTGGGCAACCAAAAAGTTGAAAGATACAGAAGATACGCGGTTTTTTCGGCCGGCGTTTGACTGACCTCAGAGGCGCACAACGCCGCAGTCAATGAGCCGCTGCAACAATTCAATTCAACATCCATCCATGCATATTTCGAGCTCATTTCTGGTTGAGCGTGCGAGGAATGCATCATGCATCGTACAGGACGGCAAAAGTGGATGGTGATGGGTGAATCGCGGTATTGGGGGGACACGTTGCAGCCGCGATGAAGCATGCCAAGTGGAGGCTCCTCAATTCCAAATTGCTTGCTGGGGTCATTGACACCCGTGGTATAGACTCCGGTAACCAATTTCTACCAGGCAGTGTTCGTATGCCATGGCAATATGCATGTGGCTGGATGGAAGAGAGAATACATGACATCCTTCTGTATAGTGAGCCTCCTCGTCATAGTGTGTCCTGATCTCGATAGGCGATGCTCGGAGTCCAGAAGGCGCGAAGGTCATTCAACCTGCGTGTCTTCATTCCAGCTCACTTTCTTGACAATGTCAGTTGTTTTAGTTCGCTCTTAACCCCGTTAACCGTTCAATCACAATGTCTTCCCAGGATTAAAGTACCTCTTAACCACTTCTTATAGAGGGGATCGCAGGAACGAATGTTCCGTCGTTCCGCTTGACCCAGGGTCTGGCAGTCGTCCTCGTGGCTGAATCCGCAGGTAGAGTGGAAGCGAGGTAGAAGGTTCCGGGAGCACTTTGGTTCTCAAAGTAAATTTCTGCCACTGTCTGTAACGTGAAGTCGTTATCCCAGGAGACAGACGGGGTCTGATTAGAGCTGCCTTGACTTGGTTGTTGCTGGGACATGTTGTTTGATTGTTGATGATGGGGTTGTTATAAGATCAACGTAATCATTCGGCATCGGTGCTGGTTTTATGATACCGACTTAAGCTTTCGAACATGTCACACAGTTTCGACCACTGAATTGGCAGTCTTTTCATGTTCATTGGCGAAGACGTCTTTCTTTCCCATTCCCACTGTGGGTACGAATCTCAGATGCTCAAATATATGTGGATAAATCTTCACAAGATGGCTAATCCAAGAAGACCAGCCGGTCTCACGCCCTCGTGAGAGACTCATTCAGCTTGTTTGTAAGATGACAGAGGAGCAGGTCAACGAAAGGAGCAGAGAGACAATTCTAGTGCTTTGGCGACAGTACCTCATATGCGACGCTCCCCGATTAGCCAGCAGGCTGAGCTGTCGAATTCATACATATGGTTCTGTAGTGTCGTCGTGTTATAGATATGAAATGTGAAGTTCGATTCATTCGTTTTTTTTTTCACGATTTTCAACCGGGTCTTTGCGGCTAGATACTCTTTTATTCTGCTTTGCCAATATTAGGCTGATAATGGTGAGCGATCATCTCTGCTTTGAAAGCTCGAACGCCCTCATTCACATCAAGGGTGATGCTGCTCAAGAACGCAAGATTCATCACGCTATCAAATCTACACCTGACGCTGCCCCTAAACTAGCGACTTGACTGGGAGCCAAAAGCAGGTACGAATGTTCCGTCTTCCTGCTTCACATACGGCTTTAGAGTTTTGCGAGTGTCGGACAAGGGGGGTATAGACTTTGCAGAGACGAAGTGGGGGCAGTCAGTGCCCTCACCAAACTTGAAGTATATCTCGCTTATCACTTGGGAGTGGAAACCGCTTTCTTCGTTGGACATGGTTATGGGAGGGTCCGAACGGCTAGTACTACTTGGCTGGCTTTCTTGCTGAGACATGTTTGGTAGGTGATGATGCGGGATGCGCGAAGGTTAACATAATCTCATGATATTACCGGGATTTATATCTTACTGCGAGCATTGTTCTCTTTTCACTATTTTTCAAGAAGGCAACAGAAGCTCAAGGAGGCTGACGGGATGTGTGATGCGCCATTGCTATTTCCGAAAGGGGTGGATTGTATCCCATTGTATGATGCAAGGATGGATTGAGAGCGTGACACATGGTGGGCCATGTACAGGTGCCTTCGTTTCACAGGTCGAGAGTACTGTTCACAGGACAAATATGCGTTTCGCGTCGTGCGTAACCTCCGAATACGAAAGGACTTCTCTCGCCTTACTATGAGTCGAATCCTTTGTAGACTACTCGTAGAGTAGGCTTCATTTCCGGCTGTATTGATCCCCGTATATTGAAACTCGATACTGTGTCCATGGTGCTATTAACACTCTTGATGTAAATCGTGGCGCCCTGTCAGCGGTGGATGAGTAGGAGGGACCGAGGTCATTGAATGATATCGCCCACTTTTTGATTTATGATGTATACCTAGTTTGTTTCTGGGGGGCGCTTTCTTGAAAAGGGGCAAAGAAGGCAGCTTCTCACTCTTCGTTGGTATTGTTTCGTGGAAAACACACACAGGGCCCGGGAGAATATGGGCGATTCCTCAGAGAGGGGAGAGATAAGTGCATTCAAAAGGAACGTTCAGTCATAGGGGTGTATTACATCTGAGCATACGTAGGAAGGACGCAGCTGCTAATCGGATCTATTTGATAACCGGGATATCATGTATTTTGTCTTTGCTATCACTTTGCTATTTTGAGGAGTCGGGCAACTGGCCAGTAGTGCTCACTAACGGGTGATTCATCATCTTACTACGAAATGACACCTAACCGACAATTCCTACTATTACCCGTTTACCTTGCTCCTCGCATTGACTTGTAGATAGAATGTGCATCATGCCAGGAGAACGCCATCCTCGGGTCTCTTCAGAATGGAAATCCTTCAGGGATCTTGCTTGTAGTATGCGTCGCTGAAGGCTTGAGTCATATTACCGTCGGGTCCCTGATAGTAGAGTGTCCCGTTCTGGCGCGAGGGATGGTCCGAGGGCAAAGTAGAAACGGCGTAATAGTTTCCGCTCTGGGCGCCTTTTACGTATACCTCGTTCGTCGTAGACGTCACAGTTGGGTTTTGTGTAGAAGGGGGGTTGGTGTTACTGGTACTACTTTGATCCTGAGAAGACATGATATAGCTGGTGTGATGATTGTTGGTGTTGTTGTTCGATCAAGAGGGCTTTTTTATATCGTGCAATTAGCAGTTGTTGGACGATTGCGTGAGACTTACATGCGCTCATCTCTCACGCCTCTTTTGGACTGTCTTTGTTTCCCAGATCGAGAAGCATTTTTCACATGAGGGGGATGTGATTTGCATGCTGTGATATTGTATGGGAAAATCTACAAAGGAGACGAAAGAGATTCAGAACCGGAAGACTCCGGGCCGACGGCATTGCTGGAAGAGCTAGTAAGGGGTATAAGTACAATCACAAGGACGAAACCGAGGAGGTATAGCAAGAAAGGAATAGAACCCTCAATAAAGTTTTTTCCTGTTGTACTGACGCCGGATTCCGCTTTTTGTTGGATATACGGGGGATGTATTATAAAAGGAGCTCTTCCTGTGAGCATTCGCAGACGACCCCGTGGATGGTTCACTTCTCAACTGCAAATACCCCCGCAAATGAAAGTATGCGAAATTCCCAGGTCATGTAAATACGACTATTCTCACGATACCTCGCCCCCAATACCAGACTGGTCTAAAGTCACCATCATTTGTGCATAATTTTCACTGTCGGATGTCGGAATCTACTTCTTGGTATGGTTGATACTACTCTACGTAACATCACCTTTCCATACTATCCGTCCGTAGTCATGTTCCATATGCTATCAATATGCCGAATCTATGAGCAACACTGCGCCGTACCTCAACATTCACAACATCAAGCGACCAAAACAAATATGTCATCCCAAGACCAAAGCGGCTACTACAGCAACACCAACTACTCTGAAAACCCCAGGTCTCCGATATATATGTACGAGGCTTCTCGAGTGGTTTCGTTCCTGTAGCTTCTCTACCTACCAATTATCCTTTCCGGCTCTCGGACGATCTTTTTGTGAAGACAGAAAACGGCAAGATGAAGCCAGCTTTCCCCCACTCCGCTGGTAGCCGCCGCTAGATCGATGTCAGAGGAAAGGCTAGGATAGTAACAGAAGATGTTCTTGACATAGGTTGATTAGTATGAAATCCAGATGTCACGTCCCAAAGTACTGACATAGGCGCGTCTCACAGAAGAAAGTATACGTTGATGTCTTGATGCCTGCAAACAAAGAGCTGATGATACATGACATCTCTGATCTGACATGGTCCGTAGGAGTTCGCAGGCGCCCTAGAACAGCTTCAGTGCACCTTTCAGGCTCGGTGATGACGGTCATACTTTCAGGATAAGTAAGAAGTTTCGGCTGCCTATCTAGAAGTGTCTCCATCAGACATTGCCGCCATGTGTTTGTCACGTGCTCATGACTACGGCATTGACTTCGTCATTGAACGTACCAGTACTTCATACATAGTACGAAAGCAGATCGGTGCTCGGGAGCTATTATGATTGTCGGACATGGCGGCGCCAATCATACCATGGCTCGATGCCGGGTAGAAGAGCAAGAAACATCATGGCGTAGCAATGTAAGGCATAGACAAAGTAGCCGAGACAACGAGGTCTGCAAGACACGAGACGGGTGGTGCTTGTTGACGACCTTGCATGCTTCTCGCAATGCGAAGTCGTGCAATCACTCCATTATACTCTTCATCATTGATTAGGGGTCTTGATTTGTCCTACCCCATACCGCATCCTACCCTCTCTCGCGATGCCGTTCTTCCTCGTACCGGTCGTGTATTACGTTTGTCCTTTTGGGTTTTGTAACACTCGAATCGCTCCTGTCGACCGATTTATTCTGTTGAACGGAACACAATGTCCGAATTGTCAGGTATGATCGCTCAGCACCTTCCCGTATACCCTTCTGATCGATGAGTGATGCGCAGGTGCGACTTATGACTACCTTATAATAACTGACTGTCGACTGACAACGTCCTTATTGAGTAGACAGTTGTCTTCAGCTTGGAGTATCACATTCGACCGTTGAGAGAGACTTTCTGGGAGCGGCGTAATGTCCGGTAGTATACATCCCGCTCGGCAAGGAGTCGTATCCATGGGACATGCATTTTTTATCAGGAGAGATTGTCCTCGGTCTCTAAATGCGAGAGGCTGCCAGAGGGATGTCAGCGGCGTTTCCTTCTGCGAGCGTGCTCGGCGAAAGCGGATAAAGCTATAATTCGGGACATCCATGTGTATGTTTCCCTATTGGACTGGCGTAGTGGTCATGTTTCGTCTCTGATCAAAGCTCGCCGGGCAGCAAACTGACTCTGGCTGATAGACACCGAATGTCAGCAATGTTCCGTTCCGAAGGTCGCCCGCGAGCTTCGAGCATGATTTTGTCTCAGGCGCTGATGAACACTGAGATAGCATATATCCATCATCATGAGCAGGACATCGCATTTGCCTTAGTGTGTGTGACGGTGGTGTCGGATCCGCGCGACCAACGAACACTCTCAAGCGCATGGTGTTCTCATCGGGAAAGATATCTTACAGCATGTAAACCATACATGCTGTGTACATTTCGAGTCAAATTCGAGGAAAGGAAGCGCGCTATAGGTGGTGCCTGAGACACAGCCAAGTTGGAAGCTTCTGCGACATGGGTTGATGCTGGTAACTCGGCAATCAGGGCAATACGAGTGGGGGGAGTGGCGAATCACAATCCTTTGCCGCGCCATCAGGTGTCAAAGATGCCCGTTATCTACAGGACGTAAGCGTCTAACTTCGCGGTCCTCGGTCTCTCTGATCTCATTCGGCGGTTATTACCCAGCTCCGTCGTCGACATCACAGCCAGCATTGACGCTTTTCCCTACCGCAACCCAGCTACTGCCCATCCTCTTACTCCGCCCATTGTCATTCCCGATCATGCTCTGGCAGTTTGCAATCCCGTACTGGTGCTGTCCGAACCCCTTTTGCGGGCACAAACTCGGAGAAGTGGTCTCTTTCAGGCTCCGCGAAGGCCTAGTCTGCCCCGATTGTTGCGTATGTGTCTGTCACCTCAGCTATCGAAAGCTTGACTGAGTCGATAACGCAGTGCATTGCATTCTCTCGAGCCAATGGTATTTGTCCAGTGCGAAAGATCTTCCCAGAATGGAGGGAGATCTAGATCATATGCTACCAGCAACCTTGGAGGAAGAGTAGAAGTAGATGACCCCTGGCTCCGCTGGAGACCATTCCTACTGTAGATATAGGAGGAAACAGCCATAATAGTCTACCGTGACTTTGGATAGAATAATCACACATCTCTGATCAAGAGATAACAATCGTTGAACGATTCATGCAATACTTTACTATTACAGCAATCATCCCCTTGGGCCCGTGTGCACTGATGCTAAAGATCTTCCACAATCTTCAGCAATTCATTACGCCGCCGAGAACCTCGACAGCGCGGGCGATGCTCACATACGAGCGTGTTGTGATCGACATCAATACACTACATATATACAGTCATGATCTTCTCCCTGCTGATGATGTCCGTCGTCCGTTAGCATCGACTCATAAAAGCGTTTGATGTTTGAGAGACTACCAGTCCTGAACACGACGACGACAAGAGCGGCTACCCCACATCCTCTAACAATCACATCAAGTATGATGAAAACGACCTCGCGCTCTATAGCAAGGCAGTTTGGGTGAGGCAGATGGACTTGCCGGTGCGATTCATTGCGCCACCCACGAAGCATTATCAAAAACGACGACCATGTAGGATAACACGTCTCGTCGCTCTTCGGATTCCATGAGACCGTCACCTTCCGATCACACAGCTTGGTGCACAAATATATTCCCACTTCTTTCGCCCCCCTTGCTTCTCAAGCGACAGTACAGACTCATCAATGCCGCAATACGTTCTTTCGTACACCAGGCGGCCATTTTGTCCATACTGTAAAGCCCCTCTCGATCTACCACATGATCTGGTTGAAGTAGGACTGGAGTGCTGGTGGTGTCAAGTAAGTTTCTATGGATGCCTTGCAAACAAATACTCTACGCTTTGAGATGGAAAGCTCATTGAGATACGCAGAGAGTCGTGTATGACCCCGAAAATGAGGTGACGATCTGGTGGGATACCGTCTCCCCCTGGATGAGTAACCTGGGTTGCTGGGTACTATCCCCTTAGAGAGAACCATACGAGTAGAGAGGCTATTAACTGGAAGTACGCAAATCGAGACAGAAACTATGCAATACCGAAATACCAATGCAGAATTATTGAATACTGTTGTACAGTCTTCAGCACCTATCACCTGGTAAGATGAAGGAGCATAAGAGAGTTCAGCTTCGCGACATCATCGTTGACTTGGCCGTTGCCAGATGTCATCTATCCTTGACCAATCCCTTGGCCAATCTTTGGCCCATTGAAGCACTATTGATCTCGGTACGATTAGATATGCTCACCTATCGTTGACAATCGATGATTAGGCCTCACATGAATGTCGTTCGATTCTCTGGGCTCAAGATGCAGCACCATCTCTCAACCAACATCCCGGCCCATCATCATGATTTCATCCCAAGGCCGCCGTCCTCTGAAGCAGATGTATCTTGACCAGTAGTCATGCTAAGTGTACTCTTTAAAATGCTCAGTCGACGGACTCGTCATCTCCAGTAACGGAGACAAATAACAGGTCATATGTTATGCTGGACAACGTCGCTAAGATGTTTTCTGCGTATACGTGAGCGGGTCATCTACAATGATTTTCCACTCCCTTCTTCCCCTCTTCAGCATGAGGTACCAGTGCATCAGTCAGACCCATCGCAGAATAGAATTGCCAGGTTTGTCGCTTCTCTCAGTATAATTTCGTTGACGAGTGGCGGCAACATCATAATTCGGGCGAGGCAGTCATTGCGATCGTTGTGTGCTGGCTGCAACGGGTGTGCCTGTACAGATCTCTACACCACAATACTATGCGTAGGAGAGTACTTCCGGCCAGCAACACGATTGTCTTCTGACACACCCTCAGAAGTACAACGTCATCCTCGAGACCGGCCTCGTTCCACCGCCACGTGTTTTACTCCTCATGATGATCGCGAGACCTATCGTCTGCCTTGCAGTGCGTCTGGACGATTGCCACTCATCACCGACTGCATGTTGCCCGGTATAAGAACAAATACGCACACGAACGCTGCTGCGACCCTACGTATTACAATCACCGCTCTCCCATTCTTTGTCCGTTCACATTACGCCTCGAAGCTCCACTCGCACTACGCGAGCAACTGGACACTGACAGTCAGTACCACTGACCTTCCTGTGAGTATAATATAGCAGAACAGTTTCCCTTTCCGCCTTACTAAGAACTCGTCTTTGGCAGCACCTCCCCCACTACTCTTCCACCTCCCCCCCTTTTTTATCGCTCTTGATGCCCCCTCCAAAGAAAGGCAGCAAGCCCAAGGCTACCCCTACTAGCACCAAAGGTGCACCCTCTACCAAAGGGAAGGCAGGTACCAAGGGGACAGACAAGTCCAAAACTGAGAAGGGGAAGGACGGCAAGCCCAAAGATGGACAGGCAAATAAGAAGAAAAAATGACTAGGCGCCTGCTCGGATCCCTTTTGCTGTAAATGTACGGGTGCGGGATCGACTTGTATACGAGTAGCATATATGAATACGTGTATTATTTACCTTGATATGTCCTTCTTGAACTGCTGCACACACCATTCACAAAGCGGAGAAAGAAGTATTCGATGATGGCCAGAGATAACATCATCGCATTTGTCAGCTCTCTTCTGCTTGTTCATCCATCTTCCAGAGATAACCTAGTATCATTGTGCATTTCGTCGCCTCTCTTCTCCATAATCCTAGCGCAGCACACATGAAACTTTACACTTCATCACTGAAAGTTTACGATACACTTCAGATGTTTTATCCCAAGCTCAACCGCCTCCACACACCTTCTTCCGCACGCCGGATTCCCCTCAAATGTCATGAGCTCAATCTCCAGATTCGCCACAAGCGCCGAAATTTTCAGCGCATCGCTCTCCCTCAAAAGATACAGCACCTTGACCTCTTCATACATCCCTCGAAGAAAGTCCCGGTTCTTATCGAACGACCAGCTATGTCCCGCTGGGAATGCTGCGAGGTATGCGAGGGCGGCTGTTAGGCGGAGCTTCCAGTTGGCCGGTATTGTGATGGTGGACGGTTGTGATGGTGGGTTGGAAGCTTGCATTTGCGCTCTCTTCCGCGCTTCTTCGTTTCGTCGTCTCTACATACCCACATCAAGCACGTCAGTACCGCCCACCGTCCTTATCGTCGGAGCAAGTTTACCTCGTTGGCGAAGAGCTCTTCCAACTTGAGGTCTTGCTCAATGGCATGGTCCATGAGATAGTCCACCATGCCCGCCTAGATTCCACCCCTCACGTATCAGCGAGATTATCATACGATTATGCGGAACGTAATTCACCAGCGACTGCTCATGAGGCTCATCTTTCAACGAATTCGGAGCCCGGCTGACACCGGAAGATATGTACGAGGCGTCGTTCGTAATGCTGGAGTTGATGGAGTTCGATGCCATACTGTGATGAGGAGACAAGTAGGACCAGTCCGAAGCGGAGTAGAAAGGATACAATAGAGTAGTTGTCAATTCCGCCCGCCCAACATATCCATCAGTCCCGCAGAATGCGTACTAAGGCGGTACCGACTAGTTTGGCCCGGGTGTCGTTTAGTACTTTTCTTTCATCATCTGGTCTCCTGATGATCATGAACGTCGTGCTAGTTGAGAGTACAGAGAGTATATATATCAAGTTATACAACTGTGCTTCGACGATAGGCCGGAAGAGGCGAGCGCAGAAACAGTACACGCGGAACCGTCAGATTCTCGTAGCAGCAGTAGTCTTTGCGTTCCTGGCTATCTTCCAGATCGGAAATGACAGCGGAGAGACGGAGTTTCTAGCTCGGGGGAGGAGGAGGGGACAGAGGCGCATGCGGAGCTGCTGTGTCCGGTGGGTGAATTCACGGCTACAATGGCTTTTTCGTGCCTACATCCCAGTCCATACATCCTCAGCGCCGTTCGTTTCTTCAGACAGAGGAGCTCGAATACATACCCCAATAAAAGCCAACACTAATCACCGCTTCATTCAACTTGTCGACTTTTACCTCGAGACGCATTCATTTTGGCAGCCCAACATCGTTCTTCGCGCTTCAGCTCCAATCTGACGGTCGCGCGGGAAGGCTCAACGTCAAAACCAAGGTCAAAACGCTGTCCACCCATGCATGCGCCCTTTCTCGAAATCCTAATGCCCATCCTAATCACCATCACCCCTCTGCTAATTCTTCCATTACAAACAAACCCTAATGAAAAACTGTGAACGCACAGCGCTCGGGACACCCTCCACGGGCGGTTTTCCAAAATCGGAAAACCGCAAATCCTCATTTGGTGGATAATGTTTCCGACCGGGTGTCCCGAGCGCTGTGCGTTCGCTCCTACGATGTTCTCAAGACGGAGCTCACTATCTTTACGCATAGATCTATCATCTTCCCCGTTCATCGGTGTGTTTGCCGGGTTTGTCGTGCTCGGTAGATTCGTTGAACCATATGTCAGGCCTGGTTACGCTTATAGAGCTGCTATGGTTGTCTTGTCTACATTATATGCTGTGCTCTCATTTGATACACGCTATTTGTTCTCCATTCCAGCTATGTTATCCTTCCTCCTTATTCCATTTCCTAATCTTCCGCCATGCAACAAAAGGGGCGTCGGCCATCAGCACCACAGCACCTAGGTTCGCGGAGTACTCGAGAAGAGACCCGAAATTGCGTATTCTCCGCAACTGTTCGCAAGCTTCGTGAGCTCCGGATCTAGCTTGAAACCCAGATGATCAGGTGGCGCGCTGCTGCCATGCTGGAAATAGATACAGGGCGTTGGACGAACTCAGACTATACATATTCAACATCATGATGCAATCTTTCACTCAATCAACCTGGTAATAGGAGAGTAGACTAACCCATAGCTACTCGTCTTGCAAGAATATAGCAACACAGACGGTCGGGTCAACATGCGAAAAACCAAAAACGGAAACCCGTTTCCACTTGCATACTCTATCTCTGTCCCAACCTCGATAGTCAGCTTCAGCCTAAACTATAATGAACAACATCAGAGTACATGGACTCTCAAGACCAAGGAAGGTATCTGATGAAAAGAATCCTCTGTCGGTCATCCAATTTAGCCGCCAGTTTGGCACTGCTCGGACGGCCGAGGATGGCCTATACGACGTCTCTTTTGAGCGCTTTGTTTAGGCTCTTGCACGATCGCACCTCTTGCAATGTGGGAGTATTATTATGCATTCTGCGAAAGTCACAGTTGCAAGAGCGCTATAGGGTTGGGAGGAAAAGCAAAAGCAAAAGCAAAAAGCAGCGCGTCGACCTGCCAGACGCGCCGAACCCACGTGTGTCCGCCCTGCTGTTCTTTCGTTGGTTGCCACCCGTCACTCACAGCTTCTCTATCACATGCAGCCCCAGTTTTCCCGGCTTTCCAAGTCCCATCCGTCAATAGCGCACGACTCGCCAGACAACAACGCGCCCCCTTTCTGCCTACCACCCAAGAAGCTTCACAGCCCTCCCTCCCACCTCCGACTCATACCCCAGTCCTTTCTCTCCTTCCTTTTCCCAGAACCTCCCCCCAGCCCCTCCTATCACCCCTCTATGCCCACCGCCTTCTCTCCCGGCTAGTGTGCAGCTGTTAAAGCCCCCGGACCGTGCGTCTTCTTCGTCCTACTCCTCTTCTGTTATGTCACGCACGTTCGACTTTGGCTGACTGTTCTGATTTGTTTCCCTCTCTTTCCAGCGGATCTGCTCGGTCGACCTCCACCTCACACGAGCACACGAGCACACGGTCACTCCATTCTCAAGTCAAAGAAAGAGACTATACACCCGCAAGACCGCAACAGAGACGAAATGCTCCTCCATTCATCAGAACCGAGTCCAGCACTCCCCTTGCCCCAGCGATACCACCCCTCCCCTCCAATAGCCCATCACCCACAGTCGTCTGACCCATCGCATCGCGTGACCTCCCAGCAACAGCAACAATACTCGTCCATGGCCTCAGGCTCTTCCACCGCCGGCGAGCGCAGGACCCATCCCCCAGCTCAAACCTACTCCGCCATGCCACCTCCCTTCACCCTCCCATCTCATCCGAGAACGAGCAACTCCAAAAAGCGCAAGCTTCTCTCCTCGCCTGTCCACGGTCATGTTTCCTCACCTTCGTTCCATTCTGAAGAGGACGAAGACGACGACGCGGAAGGAGAGGATGATTATGCTCCATCGTCCAGCACACGACCCGCTCGTCGGGCGAGGAAAACGGGTAAAGCAGATCATCCTAGTGCTGCTGGTGGAGTCAGTACGAAGGGCAAGGGCAAGGGGATGTCTCGAGAGGCGTTGAGAAAGGCAAACCATTCTTTGATCGAGCGTCGTCGTCGGGAAAAGATCAACGCCGCTTTAGACGAGCTGAGGGATATGGTGCCCGGTCTGGGCGATAATGGTGGAAAGGGCGGTGAGTTCAAACTTGAAGTGAGTCTCTCCATACTGGTACGGCGACGAGATGTTAATACCTTCTAGGTGCTAGAAAAGACGGTGATACATATGAAAGACCTCAAACGCCAACTCGTCATGCTCGAATCCCAGCTCGGCGTCTCCCTCCCCTCCCACACCACCTCCTCCCGCTCAAGCTCCCACCAAGCCGAAACCTCCGCCCCCGAGTTGCCCTCCCACAAAACATCCCCCTACCCTTCCCCTTCCCCCGACAAATCCCACGCGCCCATCTCGCCCGACCCAAACGAGACTGAACCCGAGTCCAACCTCCCTCCTCCGCTAACTCGCGCTTCTTCTCGCCCTGTTCAGAAGAACCGTTCAACGTCGGGAGACTACCTCTCTTCCCCTCTTTTGAACCCCACAACCAAACCCCCACCCCAACCAACATCCCGTCCCCCACCCCCCTCCACAAAGTCCAACCCCATCTTCCTCCCTTTCCCCGCCCCATCCCCCACCTCCCCCTTCCTCCAACCGTACTCCCACCCCCCTTCTTACGCTCACACCGACACATCGGGGCTGAGCACCGGGACTTCTGCCACGGGGTCTACTGGGGGGATGAGCGGGAGTGAGCCGTCGCCATTCCTGGCGGCTACGGGGTTGAGTTTGTTTGGGGGTATGGTGAACGTTGGGGAATCTCCCGCGGATTCGTTCCGTGCGCCTTCTATCGTGCAGGGGAAGAGCGGATCGCCCCCACATCTCTCTCTCGAACCCCCTTCCCAATCCCAAAGCCACTCTTCATCCCACTCCACCCTCTCCACCAACTCCTCCACCCCCATCCCCTCACGCCCCCCATCCCTCTCCCCCCTCTCCTCCTTCCAACCCCCCTCCACGCACGCACCAAACCCGAACCTCTCTCCGCCCAAGGGAACTTCAGACATGCCAGCAGAAGAAGCTGCCAACCTCTTGCTCACGTTCTCGTCCCCGGACACTTTGCGGCCTGTTGTGGACCCCCAAATGCCCCAAGTGCAGGGCGGAGGTGTAGGAGGTGGGCCGTTGGATGGGGGGAGAGGACGTCGGAATACAGTGGATGATTTCTCTCTTGACGCATGTGGGGGTGGAGGAGGGGTGATGGGGCAGACGGTGAAAGCGTTGGGAGCGGGGGCGGTCAAGGCGGGCAGACAGGGTGGGGAGGTGGTAGGGAAGAGTGTGAGGGATATTTTGAAGCTGAGTTGAAGGAAGCTCTTTGAAAAGAGCACAGGGAGAAGTGTGGTACTGTGGTGATATAGGGGAATACATTTAAATGAAGTATACTAGTCTGAACGAGAAATGAATACAAATGAAAGAAAAGCCTCAAAGCTAAAATCTGTGGTAGAGCCCGCGCCGAGGGTGTTTGATGAAAGGTTGCTACGACCATTGCCACTGGTAGTCTTACATTCACATGTAAAAGCCTCTGAGCTGTCATCGTTGATTGAAGCCGCAAGATGTATAGTGCGCCGACTCAAACAAACAAAAACAACAAAAAATTATGACTCTTCATTAGTATATGGAGAACTTCTTTTTGTCAGCCCCACCTTTTTGTGCTCTCAAAACCTGGACATGCCTGAAAGTCGAGTGTGAATTTCAAACCGATCCACGGAGAATGAACAGAGCGCGGTCATCTACTCGTGTCATTAGAAGCTTCTCCCTCGAGAATTCATCAAACCCCTCGTCGTCCTTGGAGCATGGAGCATCAGACCTCGCTGTCCGCCCCGGGTCTTCTTCTTTAGTCTCATGTCATCCCGAAATTTCTTTGCGCCGATCACTAGAAGCCCCAGCCCCAGAGACTCTCTTCATTCCGTTGGGGACCTTCTCCGTTCGAATACATATGCACATACATTACATAGAACAACGAATGCCTCGTTGTTGGTTGAGATCATCCCTAGTAGCTACAGTGAAGCGGCGATCATCACGCTTTTCACTGACCTCGCTGGAAGGACACGGAGATCTGCACACTGATCAACAAAGGGAATTATCATGATGCTCGGTATTGAGTAGCGTATCAGGTAAGCGGCGACAAGTTTGACTGATGACGATCACGGCCGGCGGACCTACTATAAATGGACCTTGATCAAACAATAGATACATGGCTCAAATTCTCTATCACCTCTCAGCTTGTATACCTGTACACAAAAGCAACAATATATCATACGCAATGAGAATATGGCCAGTCCGCACCGCCTGGTTCTGCCCCTGGACGGCGATTGTATCCACTCGCGAATTCAGGCGGTGTCCTCAGACGGTCGGATGGAATGTACCACCCGCTGCAACCTCCAGATGTCCGTATTGTGGGGTACGCACTCTTACATTTCGTATCATGATTTAGAGTCTAACAATTACACTATTCATTAGAATGTTTTGAGCTGGCCCGAGATTGGGTTATTCCCTATCCAAAGGCAAGTGCGCGATCAGTTTTTTCACTGAGTCTCGCACGCGCTGTCGTTGTATGGAGCCTCTATACATGTACCTGTATGTTATTCTCTTCATTATTTCTTACGCTTCTCGACTGCGAGGGTCGGCTCACAACGTGGCCGGGTGATTGTGTCCGAAAGACAACCGAAAGATACACGTCAAACTTGCGTCAAACGAACCCTCAGCTGGCGGCGGTAACCGCCTGCCCACGTGGCTCGGATCCCCATCCGCCGCCTGTCCACTTATTTCGCGACGACTGCCGATGTATTTGTCTTGTTCAAGTCTCTCTTTTCTGATTGTATTCTTTCTGCCCACCATGCCTCCCCGGGTAAGCATCCCCTCCTCTCCCCGCCCTCCAACCACCCTGCTTATATCGCCCAGCCACCGAATCGCAACGTCTCCTCCCCACTCCGCCCCGCCCCCAACGCCCCATACCACCCCCCAACCGATACGACCACCTACCGCGATCTGCTGCTATTCGAAGAGCGCCTCAAAAGCAATGCAGAGATGCTCAAGCGAAGAAGGAGGAGGTACATGAGTGAGTTTCTAAGGAGGACGGGGCATGAGACCGAGGCTGATATGGGGATAGTATTTTTGTGGTCTTTCGTCGCTGTCTTGGGTTGTATGGGGCATAAACTTGTGATACATCCTCCAGACGTAAGTACTTCCGTGTCTACTACTCCAAACGATGAGCTGACACGGGAAGCAGAACACGCTGCTACTACGTGCCCTTCAAGCGAGCGTAGCCGTCGTTTCTATCACGCTGGTGCTCTTCTTTGCCAGTGGAATGTACGAAGAGAAGATTCGATATGCCCATAGGTAAGTACTAATGTCCACTCTCCATTCTCGGGCCCATCACTGACTCGAAATTAGCTACATAAACCACTCAAACAGATCCCTACGTCCACTCAATATGCACCTAAACATGCGCCGCCCCCTCCCCTTCCCCTTCTCCCTTCCCTTCTTCCCCTCCGCCCTCCGCCCCACCTCCGCCAACTCTGCCCGTCGCCCATCCTCTACCCCCTCCCCAACATCCTTCAAACCCTCGCTCCCCGGCAAGAACCTCCCCTCCACCCTCTCCCCCAACGCCACCAACAAATCCCGCCGCCCCTCCGTCAGCCCAAACGTCATGGCCACCATCCCCCCCTCATCCAACCCCCGGGGCGAACTCATCTTCTCCTCCCGCGTCGACCGTTCCTTCCGCGAAGGCTACGAGCGCTACCGTTCCGCCTTCGAACGGCGCCGCGAAGAAAAGCAGCGCGCGGCGAGGGCGGAAAGGGGCTGGTTTTGGTTCTTGTATGGTGATACCGGACTGGCGGGAGGAGGGGGGAGGGGGGTGAGCCCGAGTCCGAGTGTGGGGAGCGTTAGTAGTGGGTCGAGTAAGAGGAGGTCGGAGACGCCGTCGCCGTCGGGCACGACGAGGACTTTGACGCCGATACAGGGGAGAGAGCATAGACGTAGTCTGAGTCCGAGTTCGCTAGGTATAGAGCTTGGGTTGAAGGCTGAATAGAGTGTGGGATTGTCAGGGGACGGCGGTGTTGGCATGCTACTTGCATTTGTCCTCATTTGACATGTATAATTGGCATCGTACTGGTGCATAATTGGGCATTGCTGGAGGTCAGGGTAGTGGGCATTGTCGTATAGGGAAAAAAGATGGATTGGAAGATGACAGAGAGACAGAGAAGAGAGGATCCACGTGGGAAATTTTCAGCGGACGATGGAGGTCGAGCTCGGTGTTCCGTTCCAACTCGGATCACTCTCTGCTTTCTGCCTTGACCTCTTCTTGTATGACTCCTGTAGGGACGTCACCATGCAGTATCGATCAGATTTCGGACGCAGGAGATCAGGACGAGAGTGCATGCAACGGGTCGACGACAATCAAGCTACGCCACCCTTATAGTAAGACGCATTGCCTCGACAACGGGACGGCGGCAGACGGAGACCGTATCTAGCTTCTCTCATCTCCGGACCAGATCTCTACCATGAGCCGGAACACAGGTATATCATACATACCACCTATATGAATTCCATACCCCCACGGTCTACTCCTACTGCCAACTAGAACGGCTTCCCACAGCCCTCGCAGACGTATCCATGATCCTCGCCTCGCCCATAGACCTGAAGCCTTTCCGCCCAGGAAGGAACGGTATCCCATATCTCTTCTATTTTCTCCAGTACTCGCTGTTTCGGTAGGGAACAGTTGAAGAAGCGGACGATCTCGAGTGGGAGTCTACAACAGAATGCCCAAGTCAGCGCAGAAGAAGTGGGGAGAGATGTAGAGCTCACGACGTTCCCAAGTTTCGTTCAGAGTAATGCAACATTTCCAGATGCCACCCCAGCTCGACCTCCGGCTCATGCAGCTGCGTCTCCTCGCCCCCTTCCTCATTGCTCTCCCCTGCCTCTGCCTCCCCCTCCCTCGTCACCGCCGGTATCGCAAAAGCCACATTCAAGACCCTCGTCCGATTCTGAGACATAAAGCTTTGATCGCGCCCTCTTGCCCCGTGTACCGAGAGCTCCTCTAACTGATGCGTATACTTGGCAAAGAAGTACGCTCGGTTGATGGCTCGCACAGAACTCGTGTGAAGACTTTCGGTAACACAAAGCCGAGGTGGCTGAAGCGCGTCGATATCTTGCAAAGCGTCGTAAGACAGAAGACGGGGTTCTTTTGGAGCGCGTATAGAAGGAGTGTGGCCTTCACGCGTGAGGGTGACGTTACCTCGCATCGACGAAGGGATGACCAGCCATTCGAGATTAGGGAAAGGGGCGACGGACGGGCGCTCGGTGGGCGGAGGCTGCAGGGTGAGGGAGCACCGGCTTTGGATCTTCTTCCGCGCCATTTGACAGCGGATGACAGCAGCACCATCTACAAGAGTGACCTTGCGAATGAGTACCGAAGGATGGGCCAAGCCGCGAGACGCCGGCGAAGGAGCAGTAATAGGCTTGTAGATGATCTCTCTGTCCGGAAACGCCGTGCTTGACGGCACAAAGCTCACACCCTCTTGCAGAAGATAATCGCAGTAGGTCTCGAAAAAGCGTTCAGAGTTGCGCTCATCAAGCGTGACATGTCGATAGAGCCGAGGCGCCAATATCTTGTAGCAGAAGCGGCTAACATGGATGAGGTCGTAGAAAGCCGAAGATTTGGCAGAGAGGGCGGAGAGGTAAAAGTCGAGGATGATGAGGGCGACGTCGTTGGGTAGAGGGGAGAGGGTCGTAAGCGATGGCAAACAGGCGATTCCGTGGTTGGGCATAATTGATCTGAAGATCAAAATGAACAGAGTCCGACAAAAGACGGAAGAGAAACCGACACTCCAAGAATTGAATTGACACGTGGGCGACGCGGGTCCGGGGCCAGCTCGGTCTTCCGTCGGATTCTGTCTTTGGCGCGACAAGAGAGACGGAGGAGAGTGAAGGCGACGCTTGCAAGAGGGCTATTCAGCCTACTGGTGGTCTACAGTCTGTTAGAGAGATCTTGAATATTGCATATATAATAAGACAGGAAAAGCTACGAGTACTCTGCAAAAGCTAAAATGGCTTCTGTCACGTGGCTGTTGCCACTTGACCAAAGTAACGAACCAAACACCCGAACCTCCACCTCCGACGTCCGCGTCAACCCCACATCTTGCCACCATCTGGCTATAACATCCATCCGTTCTACCTCCACGGCCGAGCTGCACCAGCACCGCCTTCGAGCTCTATGCTTGCTAAGCCTTTGCGGGCAATAACGGAAATACGCGGAGATAGAGAGAGCAAACCCATTCCACCACTTTCGAGAACATTCTTTCGCCACCAGGTTCGCCGATGTAGTTGACTCTAGAGGATTCGACGGAGGATACGATGAGTAAGCAGACTTGAGGTGCCAGGGTATATAAGGACGTGTCTCCATAGCAGTAGATACTCCGTCGATCCACTATTGTTGTCTTCTCTAGTACACACTCTCTCTCTCACTCAACACTCTCGCACAAACGCTATCTTCCTTCGGCATTGGTCTGGCCACTCACTTCGAGTTCTCAGACCATTTCGTCTCTACACCTCGGCGACCTCTGAAGGCATAGCCTAAGGAAGGTAGCCCCCTGACACAAACGCCTGGGAATCGGTGAGTATGAGCGTTCACTGTGGCCTGGAAATAGCTGAGCCCTTATCTAGAGGCCCATATTTCCCTAGTTTAAACGTCAAGCTGTTCAATTGCAACGCCACTCGCGAGGAATGGTTTTCACCAGCGAGCAAGACTCGACGGACTGAGAGGCAAATCGAGAAAGTGGAGATGTACTCTCCTGAAGAGTCGGCCGGGCACGTATGCGAGGGATGTGGAATGGGTGTTTGAGCGTTCGGGGTGGTGAGTTTTCCGAAGTCATAACATAGGCGACGTACCTGACTAGTCTTAGGGCGCCAGGCTCTGTCGGTCCCGGACCTCCCATCCCTTATCATTCCGAGGCTTTTCCTTCCTCATCCCCTCTCCAGCTTCACCCCCCTTCTCTTAAAGTTCACTCAAGTCGCCAAGCTGTATACGTCGATCAGGAAGGGCAAGCAGGTCGACAAGTACTGCGGAGAGAGGGGGTATGGAGCGAGAGTGTCCATGGCGCGCAGGTCATTAGTCAAGCTCGTGGGACTGTCTGTTCGGTGCCTCGTGATGAGATGTTTAGGAGGTAACGAAGTACCCTTTTCGTCTCAAAATGTCTATCGAAGGCTGACAACCCATCAGATCAATTGACATTCTCCGCCATCTTCTACCCTTCTACTTTCGATTTCGCTCGGTCACCGGACTTGTCGGTGAGGATAACGATGGTGAAGTGGGGTAAGGGTCTGGAGGGCGCATTGGAGAAGTTCAAGTGTTTGAAAGAGATACTGTCGCACCTCTCAATAAGGACAGGCACAAAAACTCACGGAAATTGCCTCTTTGAGTAGAAAAAACCTGTTATGTGCCTGTCCTTATTGAGAGGTGCGACTGTAGGAAGAACGTCGGAGGGATGGAAGAAGATGCGCGGCCGGAGGGGCGTGGAGGAGTCAGGTCACGTCCCTGGCTCGACACAAGCCCTTCCTGTCCCCCGGAGGAAGGGCTTGTCGCGCTTCTCCGCCCATCATCGTCAACAAAGGCCCTGCCGTCGCCCTCTTCCCCAACCTCGAATGGCTCATCATTTCCAAATCTGTTTACGGCCCCTTTCGTACCAAGGCTTACACCGCCTTACTCGGGATCCGCGAGCTGAAGGCACCGCGGCTCTGTGTCACCGAAAGCTATTCCAATGATTCTCCTTCCGTCATAGGCACGGGCTACCACTGTGCTGACCACGCTCATCAGCTGAAGGAGCTTTCGGTGCATGATGCAAATGGGCAGAGTATAGGCCGTATGTCGATGAACCGATCGATTCTGATGAATGTCGCTTTCCGGATACCGTGGATGAAGGACACAAATCAAGAGGAAGAGATGGATGAGAATGGAGGCGAAGACGTATATGATTCCGATGCGGATGATGAGACTAAGAACGATGTTTGCTTTGAACGGCGCCTGAAAGACTTGAGGAACTCCGAAACATTCAAGGAGGGGTCGTGAGCTGTTCCACGTCCGTCCTCTCTTGCTCAATCACTGACTGGGACGGACTACTGTAGTCTTCCGCTCCAAATCGTTCGCCTGTTCAACTGTCGGCTTACAGCAGAACGAGTCTTGGAGATTGTCAGAGAGATGTGGGAACACGTCCCTCCATGGGCGGAGAGGCTTCAGGTCTACGGACGTGGAGAAGCTCATGGCTGCGTCTGTGAGGGCTGCGGGAAGCTGTCAGGGGGCTACCTTCCTTAGGCTATGCCTTCAGAGGTCGCCGAGGTGTAGAGACGAAATGGTCTGAGAACTCGAAGTGAGTGGCCAGACCAATGCCGAAGGAAGATAGCGTTTGTGCGAGAGTGTTGAGTGAGAGAGAGAGTGTGTACTAGAGAAGACAACAATAGTGGATCGACGGAGTATCTACTGCTATGGAGACACGTCCTTATATACCCTGGCACCTCAAGTCTGCTTACTCATCGTATCCTCCGTCGAATCCTCTAGAGTCAACTACATCGGCGAACCTGGTGGCGAAAGAATGTTCTCGAAAGTGGTGGAATGGGTTTGCTCTCTCTATCTCCGCGTATTTCCGTTATTGCCCGCAAAGGCTTAGCAAGCATAGAGCTCGAAGGCGGTGCTGGTGCAGCTCGGCCGTGGAGGTAGAACGGATGGATGTTATAGCCAGATGGTGGCAAGATGTGGGGTTGACGCGGACGTCGGAGGTGGAGGTTCGGGTGTTTGGTTCGTTACTTTGGTCAAGTGGCAACAGCCACGTGACAGTTTGCCCTTCCTCATCTTCGGGCACCAAACGCTTCACAAATTTTCGATACGTGTGTTTGTCGATTGGAGCCTTGGGCCAGTATGCCAACTGCCGACAGCTGTTCGGCGATAGCCGGGTAGAAAGATGTACAAGTCTCGAGTCACCAGCATGGAGAGACAGCGAGTCGAAATTGAAGTCTACAATCGTAAACATTTGTTTGAGCTGGTCGGAGAGCCAGAGGGAATCGCAATCGGATTCGGCATAGCAGAGGCTGGCGGGCAAGAGCCGGAGGATGGCGAGGGATACCAGGAAACCACGCTGGACGCGACAGTCTGGATGGCCTCGAGCCACTGGATCTTTGATGACGAGCCATTCGAGCCGAGGGAGAGGACGAATAGAGATGCGATCTAAGCGGGTGTTCTCTTGCTTGGAAACCCTCGTCCGAAGTTTGACTTGAAGTCGCTCAAAGCTCTCAAAATCTTCCGTACGCCACAACACAATCTTGCGTATCATGCCGAAATCGAAAACCCGACGCTCTGCCGAGGAATTGAGCACGGGGACAAAGAACGGTCTACTAGCGCAACCATCGTACTCGAAAGGGGTGAAAGAACAGTTTTCGAGGAACTCCTCATAACACTTGAAGAATAAGTAGTGGTTGTTGTGGCTGATTAATATGGTATGGTAGAGAGATGCTACACAAGGCCTACAAACAACTTGTGGGTGGTCATTCTGGATGCACATATAGGTGTTGGTGAGTTATTACCATCTTTGCTGGCGGCTGGGACCCCGTAATTAATTTCGATTTCAGCCAGATCTCCGGCAATAGTTCCCTCCCAGCCGACCACCACTCTGCCACTACTCGTCTTTCCTGCTGCCAAGACGAGGATCACAAGATGAAGTCGAAGGGGGTGAATAAGCGGGTGTATCCTGGAATGAATCGGTTCAAGTGCGACTCCAGTATGTCGCTGACCTACAACGATAAGGTGTGTGTGTCGCCTTTGTTGGACCATGTCGGGTTTGGGACATGAACCAAATCATGGGTGGCTGACAGCGTTTACAGACTAGCCGGATCAGCATCACGCGCAAACACAACCTCCCCCACATTAGATATGAGCGCAACGACGTCGGTCCCCAAGTTGATGCGCCCATCCGCGAGCTCCTCACCCTCCCCATCATCCGTAACTCCACAAACGCCGAGATCTACGCGTACATCCAGGAGGAAACCTCGGGAACGCGCTGAAACTGGAGATGCCAGAGCTGGATGGAGTAACGGCAATTGGATCTGGGTTGCAGCGGGTGCTGGATAGTGTGGCGGCAATGAATGTGGCGGTGGATGAGATCAGTGTGGACGCAACCTGTGAGTGTTACGTGCTCATCCCCGAGTGTCATTGGCGTCACTGACTTTCGCATTCAGTCGGGACGAATCATAGGTTGGGCATTCTTCTTCAGTCCCTCTCGGAGGCTGTCAAGAACGCTGTCTCCGTCGAGGCGCAAGACGTCTTCAAACCGAACCCCAAGATGCTCTGGGATGAGCTGTACACTCTGTACTCTCAAACCACTGGCCACCGCATCAGCCAACTCTATGCGACGCTCTGGTCGACCCGGGTTTCACTCGGGGCAGATCCTCTCCCTTACCTTGGTGCGCAAAGGGCCACGATGGCCCAACTGCGACAGTCTCAAAAGGTCGAAGACCAACAAGTGGCCTACACCATGCTCCGCGGGTTGTGCAGCAGTGCAACTTGTCAATTGCAAGTGTTGGGGAGTGGAGAACTTGGTCTCGGGACATGGGCCGATTTGCCAAGAACTACTATGGGTGGAGCCAGAGATGGAAGGAGAAGGTTCTCGATCGAGATTGGGTCGACCAAGTCCGAAGCCAGGCCACTACGAGGCGAATGGCAGGTGTCACTTCTCGCCAGTTCGATCCTTTGCCGCCTCGGTCAGAGACCACCAGAACATCCTCCACGGCTCGAGCGACCCTCTCCCCGACATGGATGTGAAGTGGATCTTGATGGCGGGGCTCAACTCCCCTTTCGTCACGCACGCTGTCAAAGGTGCATTGGCCCAGCAGTGTATGAAACTCGAAACCATCGCCCTCGACGACTTGATCGACCTCATGTCCGAGAAGGTCGAGACCTGTGCTATCAACCTCGCTGCGTACCCGTCCTGCAACCTCGAAGATGACTTTCCGTATGCCAAACGGGACACTATCTCAGTCGATCCACTCAATCGACCTGTTCTTGCACTATGGGCTCTTCCAACGCCAACCCAGCACCTTCCAAGAAACCGAGGCGCACAGGGACATGTGCTAAAGTCAACTGCCTGGAGACGACGCCACATTATGCTCACCAAGGGCCATACAAGGCTGGTAAGAGCTTCGCCCTCCCCGATAGCCCATACTGTCTAACACTGATGCAGGCCGTGATATTCCTCCCTCTAATGTGGCTGACAGAACGGGAAGGTGCGAAGTTGGCGTCGGAAGAGCCCATAGTGCAAGAACAGGTCGATTGAGGGGATTGAGGTTCAGTAGGTATGCAGGTTGTGCGAGTACGATTGCACTCATGGTCCCAACATTGAGATGCATGCATGACGGCACGGCGTTTTTGGCATTATTCGATACACTTTCAATTGCATTGTCCATGCTGGTACATCGCGGCAGGCTTCAAAAGTACAACAACGCGAGTAGATCTCGCCCAGATACGCAACAAGCCTGACCAAGACAACAAGTCAAGATAACACCCCTCTTCTCAACGTCACTTGCCTGGCCAATCCCTACCCATCTGCTCCGACCAAGCTCCACCCGCCGATCCCCCACCGTCCACCGGTCTCCCCGAAAGATCCGCCACCCCAACAGCAGGCGGCACAGGATACGCCGTGACCGAAACCGCCGTCGGCATCGTAGTAGACGACACTGACGAAGGCGAGAATGCGGGATGATTGTGCGGTAACGGCTGCGTGTTGGTTTTCCCCGACAGCGGTACACCCGGCACGCTACTGACGCTTGATCTTCCGTACTCTGATCCACCTCCAGCTTCACTGTAACGTCGCCTCTTCCCTCCCAAAAACCCGCGTTTCTCATCCATGACATCTTCCAACCTCGCCTCCTCTTCCACCGCCCTTCCATCCCCAAATACCCCCGCCAGTCCCCCAGTCCCAGGGGGTACATCCCTCATGCGCCCCATCCCTCTCAGCTGGATATGATCCTTGAAAAAGATCCCATCGGGGTGATTACTCATCAACCCCGCCGCTGGATGACTATCATCCTGTGCCGGTATGATCCCCAGACTCTCTCCCGCCTGGCCTTTATTAGAAGCCGAGGAGAAGGGGGTAAAGGGGAAGGAGGATGAGAAATCGCCGTTGATGACGGTATGGCCTATGGTCTCTTCTTCGAGGGCGCGGATGGTCATGGAGAGGAGGGTGCTGTAGCGCGCTGCCATGGCATTTCGGACGGATAGGGCAGCCATGGTGGTACTATTGAGGGGTCAATTTTGTATATAGGGGAGAGGGGAGGACTTGCCGGACGGCGGCGATCTCGTTATGGTACTCTACAACCTTCTTCAAATCACTCGTCGCCAACGCCCGGCGGTAGAACAACAACAACGTCCTCGCTGCAGTATACAAAAACCCTGGCAATCCCATCAGCTACATCCTTCTATCTTACGCCGATAATAATAATAAAAAGACTCACAAGGCGCAATAGCAGAAACACTATACGAAATAGCAGCGCTATTATTACACATCTCAAATACCACCTTCAAACAACCTTTCGACTCGTGCAACAGCTTGCGCGCCGACGGACAGGCAGGGTCGGATAGGTCGGCGAAAGGTTCGTGGAGGAGTATAGCGGCGGTAGGTGGTAGTAGATGCGCACTCTGCCGAACATCAGTTGCTGCTTCAGAGGATGATCAGAGAGGAGAGGAGAGAGAAAAAAACATACGATAAGGTCGGCATCAATCTGTTTCTGATACCCATTCATATACTGTACCGGGTCTTTCAGCCCCGCCGGCCAACTATATCTATGCCATCTTCATGAGCCTCCATACCATGATCCGCTTGTCCAGGAATGTGAACGTACCGGATGTGCTGAATATCCTTCTCAATCTCTCTAAACTCACTACTCTCCCTAACAGTCTCCTTCTCATCCATTGACAGTCTTCTGTACCGGCGTATAAAGACGCCCACGCGGGAGAGGAGGATTTGGCCTTTGATCAGGAGCACGAATGCGTCTGGGACTGGGTGTCTGTTTTGCCGTGTTAGATAGACTGAGAGGGAGAGAGGAGGAGGAATGGAAAGGCACGTACGAGATGTTGATATCGGTTGAATGATATGTCTGTACGTTCTCGGGTATGGGTCTTTCCGACCACCTATCTGCTCGGCTTGCTGGGAAGGGTATGGTCTCATTGACCGCATCAGCTTTGGCCTTCAATATCCCCCGCGCAGAAGAAGGAAACGTACGAGTTCCTCAACCCCCAACTGATTAACCCACCCCGAACTAACCGCCGCCTCCGAATCCTGACAAAACGCCATCCACGCCGTCGCCAGCCTCTCCTCCCTCTCCGCCTCCGTCCTCGGCGGGCCCAATATACTCTGCTGCACCACCGGCGTCTGCGGCCTTGGGAATGGGGAAGCCGGGTCGGCGGGAGGGTGGGGTGGAGGATGGTGGTAGGAGAGTGAAGAGAAGAGGCCGAGGCAGGTGGCGAGACGGCAGGCGGCACCGATGTTCATCCAGCCTTCCATCCAGCGGCAGGTTGTTTGGCACCAGTAGTTGAATACCAGCTGTCTCGTCATCAGCTCCAATTCACGCAGCTGGACAGAAGAAGAGCAAGAGGCAGGACTCACAAGAGCCTGACAAGTATCCAACAACCCCCTCCCGCCAATATGGTGATAATTCATAGTCGCCACCGCATGCCTCGCATTCCTCTCCGAAAAACAAAGCATATCTTGCACTTCAATCCAACACCCCCTCCCATGCATCGTCCGTGCATCATAATCCTCCAAATTGATATAATCCTCTATGGGCAGCGTTTTGACGGCGAGAGAGTAGCGGGAGGCGACGGCGCAGATGGCGTGGAGAAGGGATCGCTGGGGGAAGAGGGGGTGGATCGGGGGGAGGGAGAGGCGGAAGAGGAAGTCTTGGCGGTTGAAGATGAAGGGGATGCAGGGGACGGAGGAGAAGAATGTTTCGACGCTGTACATCGTTAGTTTTTGAGCCTCGGGGCTCGTCAAAGGGGTCTCACAGGTGTTCGACGACAGCTGCCAGAACGGTTAGCAATAAGACTTGGTAATGTTGGAGGAGGAATCGTACCAGGTACAGGCAGGGTAGGAGGCCAGCCGGGCCAAAACATGTCCAACATCGGATCATTCACCTTCCCCGACTCTTCCCCCAACGTGCCCCCGCCCGTCCCATTCTGCGCCCCATCCGTATACTCATCCGAGCTGATCGCACCCTGGAATGGCGGCGGATCATTCGGGTACGCCTGCGCGGGGAGAGAGTTTGTGAAAGAGCTGTTGTCGCTGGGGGTGAATTGAATGTCGAATGTTGGGTAGGCGGAGGATTGTAATGGGGTTTGGGTGGGGTAGTAGCTTGGTCCCGGTTGGTTTGACGGGCCACGATTAGATTCCAGATTTGCTGTGAAAGCGTTAGCATACGTGGAGCGGTAAGCGCTTGAAAACTCACCGACTCTTGCCTGCAAATCCCTGATTAAATCGTCCTTTGCCTTCTCCTCCTCCGCCTTCCTTTTCGTCCCCGCTGCCAACAGCACTTCATCCTCGTCTGGGTCTGGCTCATACACGCACGGCACTCCCGCTGCGTCTCTCTCTGCATCTGGGTGTGTCCTTCTGAGAAAAAGATATGTCTTTGAGCAAGACGAGCAGAACGGTTTTCCGGCGTCGCATTTGATCCGGCGGCGGCGGCAGGGCTATAGTAGTGTTAGACTTCATCCTTCTCGCTGTGCCCCACACATACGAGACAAGCTGCATTGCGCTTCAGGGATGGGGCAGTACGGTTGATCTTGCGTGGGGGTTTGGAGCCTTGGCCCTGGTCTTTCGAGTCTGAATCACGGCGGGGCGCGTTGGACGCTTCGGTGGACGAAGGGGAGGGGTTGGACTTGTCCGTCGATACACGGTGCCGGGTATGAAACCCGGAGGCCTCTGAGGGCGAGAATTCCGAGGCCACCATGGTATTCGCGAGATTGTGGAAAAGCAGATGAGAGACTCAAGATGGAAATAAGCGCCGAGGGGCGACGAGGGCGAGAGGTCACGAGGGATCCCGCTGGAACTGTATGGATGGCGAGTGGGGCCCTTTGCTGTTGCCGCGGAGATGGCTGGGATCGAGAAAAAGCGACAAGGGGGGGGTCTTGCAGCGTGGAATGTATGCATGCAGCGAAAAGATCACAAGAAGGCAAGACACGGTGACACCCCCGGCCCAGTTCGATCTGGGCTACGCGGACATCCCCGCCGCACCAGCGGGAGGCCGAGCACCCAGAACACCGGTAAACACAGCCGAGACACCCAGCCAGAGTTGGGGTCCCCCATGGCCCACGTGTGGTACCCCGCCTTGCCCCTTGGCTCCGCTTGCGGCGAACCTCGGTCAGCGCTCGGTCCCATCCTTCAGCAAATCAGCATCGATGGCTGACGTTTGGAGATCTCAGGGGGTGGCCGACAAGCGGCGGGACCCGTAACGCACATGATGCACGGCTTGCATCTTTTCAACTTATCATTCACAACTTATCAATCAATTATTCGTTACAAGTGTCTATCCTTCATAATTCTCATCTTCCTTCTCTTTCCCTTTCCTAGAGCGGCCACTTTTCCTCAACGGCTCAGCTCCCCCGAAAACGTCGCTAGAGGTGGTCGCCGAAGAGGAAGCGACGGTGAAGGAGTTCGAAGGGTCGGCGCTAGAGGTGGAAGCGGTCGGGGAAGAGTTCGGAGATTGAATTGGCATGTCAGAACCTATTCCATTACTACGTCAGATATGGCTCTGCTTGGTTGGCAACTCAGATGATGATGATCTCGTTGGCAATCACAGCAGCTGGGTGAGGAAGCAATCTCGACAGCTCGGACGCAGCCTGGGGGAGTATGACAATGTTGCCTTTTGACTGATGAGAGCCGTGACCTTTGATCTTGACACAGCAACGACTCGCCGTGGCTCGAGCTATGTAGACCGTTTCCACCCACGTGAGGCCAGCCAGAATGGCAGGGATGTCCCCGAGGACCATGCCATTAGCACGTGAAAGAGAAGGGACCGTGGTGAAGGCATGGGTGAAGGAAGGGTCGTTGGACTTGTCTTCAGCAATGCAAGCAGAGCACTTGCGACAGAAGCGTGCCCAGTTGTCGATTACAGCAGAGGTGTCGAGAACATGGGAGGGGATCATGGGGGTCGAGCATTGCCACGCATCTTGAAGGATGTCGACCCTCAGGTTCGGCACGAAAATTTCTTGTGTATCCGCCCTTGAACACTGCTCTGAGCAAGCAGCACAAACGACTTGACCCAGCTCATCAACCGAAGTGGCCTCTCGATACGACTTAATCATGTCGATGTTGTGGTCGAGAGATGGCTGCTGAGGCC